TGATGGGCGCCACGCCACCGGGTTGGACTCCGTCTTGTTCGGGTGTCATCCACGTGCCGGACTGCAGGATACACAAGTTGCACCGGACACATTCTCCGTAATATTGACATCCCTACAATGATTTAGTGCACGCACATCATATGTGCGAAAGGCCTGATCTGAGGGCACAGTAACTTCCAATTTTAGCACAAAATGCCTATAAGAGTCCATGTTTTGAGAGATTATGATGCTAAGAACATAGTTGTGTGCAAAAATCTCTCAGTTCAACAAGCAAAAAATTTGATTGATGAAAACGACTTTGCCTCTAACAAGCTTAATGCATGCATGCTACAGGTTCAGTGCACTGATATCATGCAAGCATTTTGGATCATTGAATGGATTTTTTGCAGACTGGCCCACATGCTAGTCTCCTGTGACATTTTTTTTGGCCATGCTTTGTGTGCAGTCTGCATATTTGTTTGACTGGTCAGACATTTTATTTAAATGGCATGAATGAAGGACATGGAATTTGAATGATATTTACATTCCTACAAAGTTCCTTTCTAGTACAGGATGCAGTGTGCTTAGGTGTCAAATGTGGTTCTGCTATCCAGCTCTGTACAGTTATATGCTGTCATCTATTTGCTATTTCTCCACACATCTGTGCACTTGCCATTGCTATGACTCAAAGGGGAGCACTAGGGCTGAGCATTGATCTATGTTCAAAGGACAAATATTGATTAGTTCTTGTAACTTCTACACAAAAATTTGTGTGCCATGATTAATAATATGCCCTTTCTGAACATGGTGGCACTGGCCAAGGTCAAATATCAACCTACAAGGCTAGTAACTTCCAAAATTAGCTGGGGACAACCCCTTGCTCAAAAGTTTCAACCCATTGGATTGATCCATACAAAACTATTAAACTAATGTATCATAGTCTATAACCTGTACTTTCCAGGACATGGTGGCATTAGGTCAGGTCAGAGGTCACTACATAAATCATAACCTTTAAAAGTGGACTTATTGTTGACTTATCTGCATGTACTCTTGCCTTTCAGCAAGCATGGGAAAGAAACGCTCAAGCATATCAGAGGCAGCGGAAGAAGGTCTGGATGTGTCACAGGCTGAGTCTGGTTTGTCATATGATGAGAAACTGAAATTTGTGAACCGCATCTGCAAACCAATGGCCTCAAAGAAGCTTGCCAAGAAACTGATGAAGATGATAAAGAAGGGTATGCAGTATTGTGTTGTAGTCATTTGATGGCTTTGTACTGATGTGATTGGTTGTTAGGGAGTAATTTGGTCATGGTTCAAAATGTGGTGGAATTTTCTGGGGATGGGAGATGACTTCTCAGATTATGGGTTGTTTTCCTAGTAAGGTTACATCAGCCCACTGACTGGGATCATCAGTGATATACCGAGGTGATGGCATGTGACTGTAATAGTAGCCAGCTGCTGGCCACATTGCTTTTGCAGGAATGAGTACAAACTGCTGTGTGTATAGGGTTATGGTACCTACCAAGTTTTTCAATTGTCTGTTTTTTAATGCATATTCATCATCTGATTTCACCAGGCTACTTGTGAAGTTTAACTAAGACTTTAAGTTGAAGCTTTAAAGAATGCAAAGACATGCATCATATTTTCCCCATGGGAAAATTTTGAAGCATGTCACTCAGTGCCTTCTAGAGAACCTAATACTTTGAGTGAATGACTATCTGATGCACAGAAACAGAAGGATCACACCAATGTCGTGTTGTTTGCAGGGATTTTGATATTGATGCATTGCTGTTGTGCACATGTGTGTTTAATGGTTTTATCCTGTGTTGTTTGTGAAATATGATTAAATCAAAACAAATGGTGTATATATATATAGATATAGATTAGATATAGGTATAGATATAGATATAGATTAGATTATATATTATATATTAGATTATATATATATGTTTATATGCAAGCCATACAGGGCATCTGACTGAAAAATATTAGGAAGAAGACTGCACCATCCATGCCTTGCTGGAAGTAATGCCATGAAAAGATCTTTCTTGGTTTTGTCATTTTGAGGGACTTTATTTGCATGTGACTGCATGCCTCTGCATTGCAGGCAACAAGCACAAAGGCCAAGTTCGAAATGGACTGAAGGATGTTCAAACAAGGCTCAGGAAAGGAGATACAGGGTGAGTGATGTTGGCAATGTCATGTGTGGGGTGCCATTGATTGCTCCTAGATTGCAATCTTTAGCATATTGCTTGTCATCTGTGACATGGGCATTTAAGGAAAGCTTGATGTCTGCTTCAAAATAGTGCTGTAAGTAAACCATGGATTCAGAGGGAGCCAACCAAACCAAATGCCCTCAGCAGGCTTGCAGATTGGATGTAGGACTTTTTGCGCGCAGATAGCATTATCCGATACAATTTTGTATGCCCAGAGATCTGTCCATCTTTAAAGCCTTGGGCTCAGCAATGGCGCATAGATATGCTGGTAACTGACAAAATTCCACATTATTTGTGTGGTTTCTTGTGAACTGTTATATACATGTAACATTTGTGCACAATTCCTGAGATGACAACAGTATTTCATAGCATTGGATATGGTGTCATGGGCCAAAAATGAAGCACAATATACAAATGTATATATATATATATATATATATATATATATATATATATATATATATATGTATATACATATGCATACATACATGCATACACACATATAATTTTTGTGTGATCCATGTTGTGTGTATGTCTGTAGATATACAAAAAGTAAGCAACTTTCCAATGCCACACAGTTGCGCTGACTAAATGGTTAGTCCCACAGCAATATGATGAGAAAGAAGCGTGAACCAGAAGTACAGGACATTTAACATACGTTAGCTGCAGTGACGGTACAGTCGGTGGACGCTCGGCACGGGGCTGGACTCTGTGGTGGTCCGGTGGCTTGTATTAGTGTGTGCCGAATAGCTTCTTGAACCCATGATCGGGCGGCATGGAATGAAGAGATAATGTGCAGAAAGGGTGGGGAAAGGGACTGTGCGTCTTAGATGTGCGGTCAGCTTCCCTGAACGTTGCTGAGGGTTAGTGAAGGAATAATGCTGGGTTGTGTTTTCTGTGCTGTTTTTGTTTTCTACGTCTTGCCCGGCTATAATACGATGCTGGAGTCTCATGCACGAGAGCAAGGAAAGACAGTAATTATGCGACGCATAGGGCTGTGGATGCTTTGCACTCCCCTATTGCACTACTCCCCGAGATGCATGATCGCTGTAGAAGACCATCACCGTGAGGTGGGGAGGAATTCACCAATTTTTGTACATATCCGATTCCGCGCAATTTCACGGCAGCATAATGATTCGCACAGTTGATGTGTATGGATATATCACAGCTTTATGTATATATATATATATATATATATATATATATATATATATATATATATATATATATATATATATATATATATATATATATATATATATGTGCATATATATATATATATATATATATATATATATATATTTATACAATGTATATATAATATATACGATAAAGTATATACGACATATTTTACTTTTGATTTTATCTTTCTTATATTGGCGCAAAGAAGGTCTTGTGGTGTAAACCAACCATCGACATTGTGCGTTATTTCTCGCCGCCAGGATCGTGGTGTTCGCCGGTGACGTCACTCCGGAGGACATCATGTGCCACCTGCCGGCGGTGTGCGAAGAGAAGTCGATTCCCTACGTGTACGTGCCCTGCAAGGAGGACATTGGCGCAGCATTGGGGCGGAAGAAGGGCTGCATTATGGCGCTGATCCAGCCGCACGACGACTACACCGAAGCCTTTCAGGAGTGCTCAGAGGAGATCCATAGCCTCCCCATCCCCGTGTAGTGCGTGTCGAGGGCGTGGGGAAGGGGCGTGTGATGAAGTGCCGCCCCCTCCCCTCCGCTACCCATGACCTGAGGCAGTGTCCAGTGGGTGGTGGCTGCGGTCAAGTGACTCGTGACGGACCGGTGTAGGCGGCGGCTGCGGCGATCGGCGTTCTGTTGTGGTCTGGAACCAGCCATAGAGCACAAGGCGTCTGATTTCGTGCTGTCATAACCCCGTTGGGTCTGAAGCAGCACTGGGACCATCTCGCCACCATTTAAGTGGATAGAAAGTAATGTGAGCTATGCCCCGATTGCCGCTAACCGCAGGCTTGATGTCTCTGGGGTCTGTGTCACGTCTCGCTTTTTGACGCCAAACGGTAAAGGCGTTGTCTGAGCTCAAAACACTGAATACGGTGCCTGCTTGGATCCTTCGGAATACATGTGTTCCATTATCATTGACTCCGCTCTTGCTAGGATGTGGTGGGATTGTTGAAAGAAATAAACACTTCAGACCATCGCTCGCATGCAACGGCTCCTGTTACTTGTGAACTCGAAAAAAGCGTGCATTGGGTACACCTTCACAACAAGTGGCGTGGTGTTCGTCTCATAGTTTTGAGGTCGTAGGTTCGAAGATCATTGACGGGCTACATCAGTCGTCCCTTGTGCAATGCGCATGCAAGGCAGCTGTCACGCATTCGCAAACATGCAGTTTTGTGCGCCGCGTGGAAGTCGGTCGCCAGCGCCCAACTGTAGCAGATCGGCACCTCGACCTTCACCAGGGAGAGAGAGGCCTAAGACATACACGTTGTTTCAATAACCTTGCAAGAAGATCGATGAACTTCACAAGATGACAAACTCAGAAGCTATGCTAGCGCTTCATAAATGGTGTTTCGGGCACAATGTCGAGCGAAATGCCAGAATTGTTTTCGCGACGTGCAACTCGGATGCGGTGAGGCGGGACCGACCGTTGTTTATAGGTGCGTTTGTAAGGTAAGGTGTGTGTTTCATATCGGTGCGGTCCGAGGAGTTGCTTGGGTCGCTTCACAAGCGAGGTCAGGGAATCTGGCAGCATCGGCTATGGGCTTCCATATCGACACAAATGTTGCGCACATCTGACAGAGAAAGTAGGTGAATAAAAAAGCTGTGGTGGGATATGAGAATATCTACGCCCGGATTTTGCTGTTTATTAATCTTTGGTGCAGCACGTCTCAGTGCGCTTCCCCGTACCGTACGTATAATTTGCACCTGGCTCTTGTAGAGCGTGTGGATATGCATTTTGAGCTCCTGTAAATGGTAAGTTTGATTACTTAACTAATTTCCCTAGGTCAGCCCTCAATGCTGGTCTGGAAAACGGGGGGGGGGGGGGGGGGGTCCAGAACAAATAAACAAGTGGTCAGTCGAATTTGGCGGGGAATTCTCACATGCACTGAAATACTTTTTAAATAAGAGTTGGGTAGTGAAAGAGATTGAGGATTGTCCATGACATCTTTAAATGAAATACAGAAAACTGTTGACATGCACCCAGTTGAAGTTGAGGAAATGCCCACACTCCTTTAATCTCTATGGTATTGGGTAAATCAATAGTTAGGTCAATAATAAATGTGTTCTGTAGTTAATATTCTTAGCCTATGATGTGTGTGATATTGTTTATATCTGCAGCTATAAAAATTGATTCAAAGAGCTTGTGTTAGACCTATTCCATGTGAGGAAAAGATTGAATGTGGCAAAGGCTACTACCTATCAGTCTTAATCCAGCTTCCTTCTAAGGCAAATTGCATGTGATGCATTTGTATCAAAGGTCACAACTCCCTAGCTTGTATTTCCTTTTCCTTGCCTAGTTAACTAATCTTACAAATGGTTTTTTATCAAGGTGATGCAGAATTCCAAGTGTTCTCAAGTGACTTTCAGTGCTGTTCCACTGCTGTTAGTAGTTACTATTGCTGTCTTTTTTGGCAGCAACACTTGTTATCATTTTGAATTGTCATGTAATGGTAACTTTGTTTTCAGCACCATGCCATCCAGCCATTTTGTGTGAAGCTGTGGATCTTTTGAGCCCACAACCCAGAATGGCTTCAATGGAAGAGAGAGGAAGAAAGCCTGTTATCACCTGTAAGTTAACTTGTTCTAATGTTTTGTAGTGTTGACATGGTAAGTAAGCTTTTCATTTGTAGTTCCACATCTTTTTGTTCCTGTCATTACATCATGCTTCCTGAGTAGCCAAATATACTTAACATTAGAGCATTTGTGCAGACTGGCAGCAGGTAGCTGTATTGATTCCATGGCAAAGAGAGATGCACTAGAATTATCCTTATGGCATTCTTATAAGGTTCACCAAGGATGTGTGGCATCATCATTATTAAGATGCTCTGAAGTCAAAGTGTACTATTATGCTCCAGCCTCAGGACCCAACTCAGCTGTGACATATTAGTGTCTTTGCTCATTAGATACATGCTCATACCAAGAGCACTCCAGCCTATCAGCATGTGCATATGCACAAATGCACAAGCATGCAGACTGCTTAGCACATGCATACACACATTCACGCACCACCTACCTTGTCCACATGTGCACACGCCTATGCTCACCATTCCCAAGACACACATAGAGATGTTTGAGACCCTGAATCCAGTCACTGACAACCTCAGCAAACACCAGCCAGTGCAGTGTTCCACCTTGCATAACAACTGGCCTGTCCACAGACGCAGGCCAGTGTGGTGGTCCACCCCGCATAACAGCTGCCTTGTTCGCAGACGCCGGCGAGCCACAGGTGTTCCGGCTGCTGCAGAACAGCCTGGTGCATGGCCTGCCACAGGAGGAGGTGGAGTGGCGGCGCAGCTACGGCCGGCCGCCGCGCCACGTCACCCTGGAGGCCACCTTCGAGCCGTGCTCAGAGGCTACGCTCACCGACGACATGAGCACCCTGGTGCGCCGGCCTTGCCTGCACACATTCTGGACCGACTGCCCGGTGAGCTTTCTCCGGCATGCTGCCTGCTGTACCATGTGGTCGGGACATTTGTGCTTTTTCAACCTTCTAATTAACACCGTGTGTTAGGATGCAGCTGTAATCAGCAAAACTGCTACAGTAATTTTAGTCAACAACATGCTTATATATCAGCACACCTAATATCAGAACAGCTTCAAAAAGAACTTTCCAGCCTGCTGTGCTTTGTCCAGGCATCACTACAAATGATTTGCCACCAGTTCATATGTGAGACTTATGTGCTCATCTAACTGCATAACCTACCTAGACTTAACTGCAGTGGATGATTCTTTATGTTTAAGGTTTATTCTGAGCTTCTTATTGGATGGATTTCTAAAATTACCATCCCACCAAGCTGTGGTTGTTTTGTAAGCCTTGGCGCCACCATCCGGTCGTGAAATCTCGGGGCAATGCCAGAGTTTCGTCATGAAACCGTAACGTTCCGCAACGTTGTTTTTTTTGTTTTTCAAAAACTCAATTGCATCCTGCGATTCACTCCAATCTCCCCGGGTAAATCGTTACACTAATATTTGGTGTGTTCCTGTGCCTCACACTGTCTCAGCTCGTCTGTGCGTTGGGTGACGGGAGCGGACGTCGCGTATCAGCACGCCTGCCGACTGACAACTGGCTGGTCCTCAGGATAACGAGACGTACAAGTCGTCGACCCGGGACTCGCTGCAGTCGTGGTTAGCCATGCTGCGGCAACACAACGTGGTCGACTGGCTGGTGGTGGTGGTGGAGGCAGCGGACGCGCGCAGCAAGGCCAACAAGCTGCTGCCCCGCTCTTCGGTGCTGGATAAGGTCAAGGCCGACATCAACAGCAAGCACGGCGACAGGTGAGGGCCGGGCGGACGCGAGACGCGCGAGAGACGGGCTTACGGGTCAGACTGGGGAGCAGGTGGAGGGAAGAGCACGGAAGGATGGACTGACGAGAAAAGACGGGAGGTAGGACACAAGAGACAGGTGTCACTCAACGGTAAAGGAGACTGGTAACGAAGCATATGACAGACAGGAGGTGGATGATTTACGGGGTCGATGAGGTGGATGGGATAGGACAGCACAGACAAGCGCTGGACGAGACAAAAACCAGATCACAAGGGTTTGTGTTCCCACCAGTGCTAAGAACGTACAGTGCGTTTGAAAGCATCGCCCCTCATCGCAACACTCTTCCACGCATGCCCGTTGACTGGCCGTACGCCATGCTTTCTTCCGGCCAGGTGCGTCACGCTCCTGGACCCATCCAAGACCGATGCTCGCTCCGCCGGCTCCCTGCACAACCTGCTGACGAAGCTGCGCCACTTCCTGCTGATCGGCTTCAACCGCGTGCTGGTGCGGTTCGAGGACGCCATGCGGAGCCAACGTGAGTGCCATCCCCATCCGCTCGGCCGCCCACTGGGGCCGCGGCCGCTCCCGGGCGTCAGGCAGCGCCTGGCAGTGCGCGTCCGCTGTGGGGACGTGCGTTGCCGCATGCCTCCGTTAGGCTGGTCGAAGACTTGAAGCGATTGGAATGCTACCGAAGTGACTGAAAGAATCTTGTGGACTCCTGCACTTCTTTGTCATTTTGCCTGCAGTTAACAGCGCGTGGAGCTCTGCTCGGTTGCGATTCACGCCAACCAGACTATAGTTATGCATCAACACGTGATATATGAATTTTGATTCAGCAGATGCTCACTGGATCATAAGTGAAAAGTTTATATTTGGCGATATCGGTTCAGAGTCTGATACGAAGATGTAGACGTTGTGGGTGGATGTGTCTGAATTGACGGCAGCTGCCTTTAGCTATGTTGCTCCGACAGCTCCGCGTGCTTTGAGCTCCCACGCCTCTGTGGCTCGTGACTAACAGCGGGCTACGGCCTCTTCCAGGTGAGAAACGGACCTCGTCCAACTGGAGCTTCGGCGCCTATTTCCCGCTGCAGGAGGAGCTGGCGTTCGTATTCCAGCAGCTGGGTCTCTGCGACGAGGCGCTGGTCCAGTATGACGAGCTGGACGCGCTCTTCACGCAGTTCATACTGAACTCCTGCGCCGGAGGTGCGTCCCCTCTGCGGGGCGAGCCACCCACCGGCTGACGCCTCACGCCGGGCGAGGCGACTGCGCCTCACGGAGCGGCTCCGGATCGGGACGACATCGGAAAGGCGGCGTCAGACGCGCGCCCGTTGCCGAGAGGTTACAGACCACATCCCCATGCATGCCCCATCGCTACATTGACTAATAGCAGATCAGGATGGGTGATGGGAGGTGGGCCCTCTTAGCCATGTCTATCGTTTGTGTCTGTTTGCCACAGACGTGCCGCCGGCTGGAGGCTGTGGCTCTCAGTGACGCATGTCATGCGCACTTGTGCGCCGCAGCCACGGGGCACTGGCTGCCTGTCCGGGCCGCATGTGCCGCTTGCGTCTGTGCACCACAACGAGCACCCTTGACGGCTGCTCCAACCGTGCGTCACGTGCCCCTGTACGCCGCAGAGACGCCCCGCTGGCTGGAGGCGTTCTCGCAGCCGGTGACGGAGTGGCACGGCCTGTCCGTCCCGGCCAGCTGCTCGGACGCCGTGCGAGACGCCATCCGCAACCAGAGCGTCTCCCTCCTGGCCTTCCGGTACGTGACCGCCAGCTACCGGGGAGAGCGAGGGCCCGGGTGGGGACGCTCGCTGGGCTTTAGAATAACGGCGGGGCAGGTAACAAGCTAGGCGGCTCCGGCAGTCTGCGGTGTTATGGTGGCGCTGGGTTATGAAGTGTGCTCAGCATTGACCATTCGGTGTTAAGGGCTTGGTGCCGCCGCTCGTCGGTCCCGTTCTGACCGCTGTATCAGTGAGAGCGGCCCGCGGCCACGGCCGGGCGCTGCGTACAGTCGTCCCGCTGCCACTCATAAACATCTGCCCGGCCGTCGCCCGTAATGGCCTTATGATCTGTGGCTGGTTATCATGATTTGAGACCGTATGATTCCTAAGGTTTCGGTGTAAAGTCATCAAGTTCTTCATTGGCATGCTCTCATAATGATTGATCGATCTTTGAGTCCGTGGCTTTGCTGCTTCATGTTGTGTTCTGTTCTACATTGGTGTTTTTCACTTTCTTCGCCTCTCTTCCCTGTGGCGTGACGCTTAGAGCACTCGAACTCGAGCGATGCGGTCCTCTCTCCAGCCGCGCGCGTCCGGGGGCCGCGTCCCGCCGGTCAGCGCTGTCCCGGTGTGGCCACTACGACAGTCTGTCGCCCGGCAGGAACTACCTGTACGCGCGCCAGTGCGTGCTGCTGCAGGCGCTGGACCGCACTGCCGAGATTGCCCAGCGCACGCTCAACTTCCTCTTCAACACCATCAACGAGCTGCGCCTGATGCAGCTGGAGATACAGCCAGGTGAGCCACGGCCTCGGGCCGCTGGTGCTCCGGCAAGCTGGGCCCCTACGCTGGGTGCTGGAGGGGGGCCCGCTGATGACATTGCAGACTCGCAGCAGCCTCTGCTGACCTCTCAAGCTGCTCGCGCTGGTTATTTGTCAGTGGTGTGTCATCGCTTGCGGCCCGAGCTGAGCCTGCGCGCCGGCAGGTGGGCTGGCCTGCTGGGCGTTCGGCACCTGCATGAACGTGCTGGACATCTGCAGCGAGATCCCGGCGGACACGGCGGCCCAGGAGGCCGTCGGCGTCTACACCGCCAGCCTGTATGACCAGGCTCGGCTCAAGGTACAGGACGGTGGACCCGATGGCAGGTCGCGGCGCGCCCCCTGACAATGAGTATAGCAGTGGCCTTGTGTTCGCTTTGTGTCTGGGTGATCTGCCGGCCGAAGACAAAATGCCCCAACCGCCATTTTTTTTCTTTGGAGATTTAGCTATTGCCGTTCGATGTACCTCGATCAACTGCATCTTGCGATGTCAAGTCAAAACTTTGGGAAACAGCTGCGTTCAAAAGCTGTTGTAGTTTCTTCTTAAGCAAATTTTGGTTAATGTGCAGAAACGTAAAAAACCTGAACAATTTACCTGATGTCACTGAGGCCTTTTTGCCACTGAACGGCAGAAATACGTTCCCGAGGATATTCAAAGTCCGGTAACCCGTGCCATGTGGCTGGGGTGGTCTCCGTTGCCGCCGCTGGCTGCTGATGCGCTGGAGTGGCAGCGGTCTCGGTCACCACCAACGTGTGCCCTGGTGTTCGCCGCCACTGTTCGCCGAGCCAGCGCACTGTGGCCTGCCGGCAGCTGTACGGTCTGGGCGAGCTGTGCGGTCTGCTGCCGGGCGAGCGCTCGTCCTCGGCCCAGCTGCACCTGATGGTCACCCTGTCGGCCGGCATGGGCGACTCGCCAGCCGCTGACAAGCTCAAGGACGCTCTGTCCAGTCACGACGCCTTCCAGAACTGCTACCTGGTCAGTGGCGGCTTCGCCCCGCGGGAAGGACCCGCCTCGGCGGCCGCACGGATTTCGGCGACGGTCATTCGTAAGGTGGAGCTGTACTGAGTTCGGTGCGTGCACGATTGTCGGCCGCGCAAAACAAAAAAGAAAAACAGGCGCGTTGCTCATTTTTCTAAGGAATCTGTCATGAATCTGAAATTCGCCGTCGCGCGTCCTTCACATAGACATAGACAGTGCCACCCCACTGCTGAACGTGTCGGGGATATGGCGGCGCCGCTGAGCGCTGCGCTGGGCTGGCGGCAGGAGCTGTCGGAGCTGGCGATGGGCACGTACAAGCACATGGGCCGGCTGCGCTCGGCGCGGCTGGTGGGCCGCCAGCTGGCCACGTTCCACCTGCGTCTGGGCCAGGCGGCGCACGCCGCCTCCCTGCTAACGGACGCGCTCAAGACGTACCAGGAGGAGGGCTGGGGTCAGCTGACCGCCCAGCTGCTGCTCCAGCTGGCACAGTGCTACCAGATCATGGACGACCACCAGAGGTAAGCGCCAGCGCTGCTGCCAGATCACGCACGGGCGTGGGAGGGAAGATACTGAATGCTGATACGTGGCAGCCTCTATCGTTCCATGCAGCCGGCGCGCTGCTGGTGAGCGTGGCGCGCATCCGCCGTCCGGCGCCCTGTGACAGCTGCTGACCGGCTCGTTTCAGGTACACCCAGACGTGCGCCATGATCGCAGGGAGGGAGGATGTCGCCCAGGAGGCGAGGCTGCAGTACGCCAAGCAGCTGGTGGATATAGCCTCTACCAAACAAACCCGTACGTTTCAGTCCGGTTGATCTTCACTTTTTCTTGCTCAGTCGCTTCCTATGCCACACACCGGGTTTCGGAATTTGACGCACTCATCTTACCTTGTACGCGTCCAAAGGATTTAGCGAGTGGAACAGCATCTCGTTTTCAAGATTTTCACTTCTGCAAGCATTCCTGTTAAAGCTTAACAAAGGTTGACAGTCTTTTAAATGTGCCCTTTTCAATTCTCAGGGCTTGTGTGACTCCAGCACCGTGCTCCCGCATGACACGTCGAACGGATATCCGCGTTGTATTTGGCCTGTTGTCGATTGTTGGTTTAGCTACCCGAAGCATTTCTACGTGATGCTAGTTGCTAACATACGCATTGCCAACAAAGATGTAAATGAAAGCATGTCCTATATAGGAAAGGTGTGGACAATCGTTTTATCTGATATAGATATTGTGTGCTTGAAATGTCATTTTATGGTGTTGGTTTATAGTTGCCAGGGTATGCTGTGCTGGTATAAAATATGCGGTATATTTCTGTGGCACGTTTGCTATTCGATAGCCTCTATTGACTGGTGTATTATCATAACCTTGATCCTTTAATGTCAAATCCCAAGTAAGTTCTTAGTAAGGCTGTGATAATTATCAATTAATAAAATGTCTGATTTTTTCGTACGTTTTTCACGTTGATGCTGCACGCAATTTGAAAAAGTTTCCACCTCACCATATGGCCGCGTATGCCGTTTTAAACTGTTGCAGTAACTCAATAGCGTGTCATTAGCTGCATCAATGAGCTGATATGTGGAACATCTCCTATGATCAGCGTGTGTTCCCTGAACGCCACGTGCGCCGCGACTGACGGGGCGTGCTCTGCCGCGCCAGGTGTGGTGACCTCCGGCGATGACCTGCTGCTGGTGCGGGCGGTGCGGCTGTCGGAGCCCGACCGGGAGCCGTTCCCCGGCGCCCGGGTCGAGGTCGTGCTGGACGTGAGTGACGCTGGCGGGTGGCACTGAAGGGGGGGGGGGGGGGGCACCACGGCGTCCGCTGCAGCCACTTAGTGATAAGGAAATGGACAGCTGGGGCGACTGTCGGCTCAACGGACGTCGCGGACGCCCCCGCCCCCTTCCCCTCCCCTCCTCCTTCGAGACCGGTGTTGCCAGATCACGTGTTTCCGATCTGAAGCGTGTATTAATCTGAACAAGGACTGTCTGCGGGACATGTCGGGCCTAGTGTCAGCATCCATGGCTTTCCATTTAAACCAATTAATTGGATGCAGGCTTGAGGCCCCAGACTTAAGTTACTTCATTATGCTTGCGGTCCTAGTTATATGCATGACAGCCCAGACGCCAATTGGATTAGTTTAGATATACGGTGGGTGAGCGCAATCAGACAGCATACGTGACTGTGTTTGTAATGCCGCGTGACCTGAGTCTACTACGCGGGCTGTGTAATAATGCCGTGTTTGGTAAGGCCGCTGTGTTTGTGCGAATGTACACGTTTGTGCACCGTGGACGGGTGGTGTACACGCGTGCGTACGTGCGTGCGTGCGTGCGTGCGTGCGTGCGTGCGTGCGTGCGCGTCACCTGACGGCCGCCGGCTGCAGGTGGAGAGCCGCCTGCCGGTGCCGCTGCGGCTGCAGTCGTGCCACGCCGACGTCCAGCTGGCCGAGCCGCCCGAGCAGCTGAGCAGGAACACCAGCTCGGCCAGCACGTCCAGCTCCGGGTCAGTGTCGGCGCCCCGCACGCCGGCCAGCGCTGACCGCCTGGGGCTGCGGTCAGCCAGCGCCGCCTGCACCAGACGCCAGCCGTGCGAGTTGCTGGCGTCGGCAGTCCATAGCATGTTGGAGACCGTTCGAGAACTTTTAATGCATCGCGTGGTGTGCATTGTTTTGATTATGACGCTCTGAACATATTCTGCTGTTAGTGTCGTGTCGGACGAATGTTGCAATGTGCCATTGGCTAGCGAAAAGAAACTTGTATGCATGCAAGTGCCTATATAAAGTATGTAATATTTAAAGATGCTTGCTCAACTAACGGATTTTAACTGCTTACCTGGCAAGATTTTGTCGTCTGTAGAATGGTTGTCCGCACCGATATCCGTGAAGGGCGTCCTTTGAAAGATCTGTAGACGTCACATTAGTGGTAGGTTTTATGGGTCAAAATGCGTGCCCCAATGAGGCGTCCTTAAGCCTGAAATCGGGAAAGTCAGCGTCACGGACATTGTGAAAACATTCGGCTTGAAACGTTCACCACGTGGGAAGAAGGTGACAAGGGTCAAAAGCGCTGTAGCATGCAACGCTCGTGTGGTAATATAGCGTAGCTAAAGCGAAAATGCTGCGTAGGAGCACTGAATGGAAGCCATTATCGCCTTGAAAGATAACAGGAGAAAAAAAAACGCTTGGAACGTACAGCTGAGTAAGCAGCTATATGCTGCCAGGACAATTTGCGACACCCTCGATGTTCGCACACGTGAAGGTCTGAAAATACGTCACGGATTCAAAATTTCCGTATAAGGCGTGACGCTAGGGCCACAGCGTGCAGCACGAGTCTGTTTCGTGCGTGCATCTCTGCCGTCCACCGGAGCGGTGTGTCACGTGTCTGTCGCGCCGTCCAGGTCTTCGCCGTGACGCGGTGTGCGACCTCGTCTGACCTGTCCAGGTCATCCCTCCGTGACCCGGTGTGTGACCTCATCTGACCTGTCCAGGTCATCCCTCCGTGACGCGGTGCATGACCTCGCCTGACCTGTCCAGGTCATCTTGTCATGACGCAGTGTGTGACCTCGTATGGCCTGTCCGGGTCATCCCTCCGTGACGCGGTGGGTGACCTCGTCTGACCTGTCCAGATCATCTTGTCATGACTCAGTGTGTGACCTCGCCTGACCTGTCCAGGTCATCTTGTCATGACTCGGTGTGTTACCTCGTCTGACCTGTCCAGGTCATCCCTCCGTGACGCGATCCATGACCTCGTCTGACCTGTCCAGGTCATCCCTCCGTGACGCGGTGCAGGACCTCGCCGGACCTGTCCTGGTCATCTTGTCGTGACGCGGTGTGTGACCTCATCTGTCCCGTCCAGGTCATCCCGCCGTGACACCGGCCAGCGGCCCGACTCACCTGCCGCCCTGCTAGGGCCGGCCGACGACCGGCTCCAGCTGGAGGAGAACATCGAGTACAAACAGGACAAGAGTCTCAGCGCCGCCACGCTCATCTGCCGCAACATGCTCCGGGTGCTGAGGTGGGCCATGCGTGCGCCGGCGGCGGCCTCATCACGTTCGTATGTTATCCTGGGTGAGCTCGCACCGTCCCGTGGCAGGTGCGACGTGTGTGACACTGCAGCCGCCTGTCCGTCACACTGCACTGACGTCTCCATTCGGCATGCCATCCACTCCATAGTTACCCGAATGAGCAATTGTCTAAAATGGCTACTCACTCGTCATATTTGCTCTTCGCTTTGCTATGTGAGTTCCTTCCAGCGCCATTCTCGTGGTGTCAGTAAAAAAATACTCGGGCGAGCCGTGGTCTCGTGGTCAGGGTGTGCACGTGGGTCCGCCCGGCTGCGCAGACGCTGGAGGGTTACGTGAGCCCGCCCAGCGGACGCTCCTGGACAGACGGAAGATGGGTGGTTACGTGAGCCCTCTGAGCAGACGCTCCTGGGCAGACGGGAGCACGTCAGAGGAGCCCGCTCGGCCGTGTGACTGGGGACCGGACGGATTGTGTGCCCGGCAGACGCAAGGACAGCCAGCCGAGCGTAGGCCGCCGCGGCCAGCTGCCGGCCGGCGCGTTCGACGTGAGCCTGGAGCAGCGGGACGTCACCCTCCAGCCGGGCACCAACCGGCTGACGCTGGCCGGGCAGGTGAGAGCCGGGCCGCCGCTCGGAGGATTGCACCGTCCGGGAGGCCGCCGCTCAGAGTGCTGCACCGTCCGGGAGGCCGCCGCTCAGGCGCTGGCGCTGCTGGCAGCAGGCGCTGCTGATCTCGCTGCCGCGATGATCGGCCCGTGACGTCACTCGACGCCCTGCGGCCGGCGGTGTCACCGGCTGTGTGGCCGGTGTTGTGGCCGACCATATGGCCGGCTGTATGGCTGGTGTTGTGGCCGGCCGTGTGGCCGGCTATGTGGCCGGCGGTGTGGCCGGTATTGTGACCGGCTGTATGGCTGGTGTTGTGGCCGGCGGTGTGGCCGGCGGTGTGGCCGGTGTTGTGGCCGACCATATGGCCGGCTGTATGGCTGGTGTTGTGGCCGGCCGTGTGGCCGGCCGTGTGGCCGGTGTTGTGGCCGGCCATGTGGCGACCTGCCGTCGGAGCGTGCTGTAACGCCGGCCGGACGCCGCCCCCAGATGGAGAGCCCGGGCTCGTTCGTGGTGCAGCACCTGCAGTTCCGCTGCACTTCCCTCGACCTGATGGTGGAGCTGGATCGCGCGCTCCGGTTCACCGTCAAGTCGTCGCCGCACAAGGTCGGGTCATGCTTCCTGGTAGCTGGCTGTTCGGCGGCCGCCCTAGTTACCGCTCCTCTATTTATGTAATATTTGTACATAAGTTAGAGTCCGAGGGATGACATGGAGGAAAATGATAGACGAGGAAGGCTGGACCCAACCGGGACCGGTCTAAAAGTTTCTGCGAGCTGGTTTAGACATATCCCATTGATGTAAACAGGCTGCCACCATGTCTTGAGTGCGTTGGGGGAGGGGCGGGGGCAGCATCAGATCTGCATGCTCTTCAGACATTTCTCAGCTTGTAAGACTGCATCAGAATGTGCACTCATTGTCTTGCAGACTCAATGCGACTAGAAGCCAAACCGTTAACTTGAGCCCGGAGAAGGGGAGCTGACGGGAGCTACGAACCCGGTTGGCCTCCTTACCACGTCAGTTGTTACCGCGAGCTGTCGTTTGAGGGGCTGAGCTGTATTGCTGCGCTGCCCGTCCACCTGCCGCTGGCGCCACCTGTCGGCGCCGTCTGTTGGCGCTCTGACGCACCTCCCACGCACGGGACGCGCCGACACGCTCCTCCCCGCACGGGGCGCCGGCAGGTGTCGCTGAACAAGGCCGAGCCCGACCTGCTGGCCGGAACCGTGCAGCAGATGACCGTGGCCGTGGCGTGCGGCAGCGAGCCCATGACCCAGGTGAGCAATGCCGGCTGGGTCACGTGTCCCACCTGGCGTAGCTGGACGGACGGCCGTCGGGACGTGTTTGGGGCCACTGTCCGCCGTCAGAAATGTTGCCATTGGCTGGTTGAGAGTTTGCGTTTACTTTTACGTACACAGGATAGGTTAGCCGACTGACGCATGCTCCCAGTTCTCAGAAAGCTGTACCTCGTGCGGAGTAGGACGCATATTTTGTCTACGGGTGCTGTTGTCTCCATGCGTTAAAGTGAGGGCGACCCTCAGCGGTATATTTCTTCGACCAGTGGTCGGGCACCCGCTGTCCCCACGCGACGGTGCTGCCCGTGTGTGTGGGCTGACCGGGGCTGGGTCACCAGGCGAGCCGGCTGCGGCTGCAGTGCTCCCGCGGCCTGACCGTGCGCCGCTCGGACACTACGGCCGACCAGTGGGTGGAGCAGCTGGAGCTGCCGCTGCCGCCGCTGGCCGCCTTCCAGACCGTCACGCTGCCTGTGTCGGTGCTCTCCCAGCTGGCGCACGTCAAGGACGGCGTCAGTCTGCTGCACAAGGTCAGCAGACGGCGGCGGCGCACCGCCCGCACGCGGATCCGCTGCGAGATCTCGCAATGAATGATGATGCCCCGTCGTGAGGTGGTGCGGGAGATACTGGGATCTTTTGTCGAAACGTGCACTTTTTATAACAAAAGGACAGCGTGAAACGTGATGTGGATGCTGATGTGGTTTTCAGGTGAACATCTTCTGTCCCTGGAGTTCGCTACCGGTGGAAGCGGAGCTCTACTTCCTGCTGCCCTTCTCCGTCAATTTCAGGCTGCACACGGCCCAAGTCAGGAAGTTTGTTCAGGTGAGATGCCTGGCCAAGCAGGCGCCTTCCTACCCGCAGTGTATGTGCGTGATAGCCGCCTTCGGCCGCCAACGCCGCGCGAACGGTGAAGGGCGCTTGGTGGGCCGGCGGCCGCGGATCGGCCGGAGGCTGCTGACTTCTGGCCGCGACGACCGCATAGTACCAGCGCCCGGCAGTCGGGGACAGACTGGGAATTAGGGTAGGAACTTACGCACTGCAGAAAGGTCTCCCAGTTGTCCGATGGCCCCTGTCTGTTCACGGATCATGTTTGCACCGCTTGGGATATCAAGAACTGGGGCTATCTAGTTTTGCCGTCCTGCGTCGTATTTTTTTGTTCGGTTTCACTCATAGGGTGCTGTGAGCGCTGTGTAGAGTGATCCGCCGATGGCGGGCTTTGATCGGTGGCTGGGTGGGCCAGCACGGTGACCGCTGACCTGACCCGAGCCGCCGCCGCCACCGCCGCCGCCAGGTGATGATGCACGGCCTGAACACGACGGCGTTCGAGCTGACGCAGCCGAGCGCTGTCGTCATCAACGACGCCCCAGTCACGCTCACCTCCCTCAACGCCAACGCGGAGAGCGTGGTGAGTTACACCCGCTTCCGGAGGATTGTGGGGCGCAGACATATTTCCGCTGCATTTTCAGTACACTTTTATCCCACGCAGCAATTTTTCAACAGCCGTCAATAGCCGCAATCATTATTTTAATAGCCGTCCGTCCGTCCGTCCGTCTGTCCGTCCGGATAGGTCAGTGGGTTAGAGCGAGCGTTCCGATCCACCCACCCTGGTTGAGTTGGGATGGTTTAAGGTATTCGCTGTTTGCCCTTGACTGCTGCTGCCACTGACCGCAGTCAGTGGCAGCAGCAGTACTAGTGCTAGTGCAGCAGTACAGCAGTGCTTAGTGCTTAGGATTTTGTGACGCCATAGGGCAATGCGAACCTTACCAAACATTGCGGTACGTTAAACTTATAATTGTGTATATAATAAACATCATATTCTGCCGTTGACCCGACATTTCACGATTGGATGATGGCCAGGGCTCGCGCAACGAGCACTGCTTAGTGTGCCTCGCATCCCAAAAATATTTCCATTCAAAACGTTCGAACCGAGTCTTTAAACATGGACATTTTTGAGCATAGACATATCATACGGTAATGTGCTGGTGAGGGCTGCTTGCAACCGGCTGACGTCGAAATCTCGAGCAGGTGAAACCGGCCGAATAGAACCAAGCGTCTAACTGGGTCACATCACACAAAGCCCCCTATGTCACCAATCCAGGTCTTCCGCGGCAGATGGAGCGGCTTGATGCGGTGTGACATTGAGCGACCGGTGTATGCTGCAGGTAGTGTGTAGTGACCGGAGCGTCTCCTACCTCTGGGAGATGGAGCGGCTGTGTGTGGTGTGAGGCTGAGCGACCGGTGTCTGCTGCAGGTGGTGTGCAGTGACCGGAGCGTCTCCTACCTCTGGGAGATTGAGCGGCTGTGTGTGGTGTGAGGCTGAGTGACCGGTGTCCGCTGCAGGTGGTGTGCAGTGACCGGAGCGTCTCCTACCTCTGGGAGATTGAGCGGCTGTGTGTGGTGTGAGGCTGAGCGGCCGGTGTCTGCTGCAGATGGTGTGCAGTGACCGTAGCGTCTCCTACCTCTGAGAGGTGGAGCGGCTGGGTGTGGTGTGAGGCTGAGCGACCGGTGTCTGCTGCAGGTGGTGTGCAGTGACCGGAGCGTCTCCTACCTCTGGGAGATGGGCCTGGACGAGGCCACGCCGCCCGTTCGCGCCCAGTTCTGCGTCGACTACCGCGCCGTGGACGCCGACTCCAAGCAGCGCTTCAAGTTCGACTTCACCGTCGCCGACTACAGGGTCAGTCGGCGCCGGCACGAGCTGGCGGCCTGCGGTCGAGCCGAGGGGCTTCTGGGCGCGGCCCCGGTGATCTCTGCGGCTCCGGCGCGCGGCGTCCAGACAGTCCGTACCACCCGTGCGGCCGGCGACAGCGCGGTGGCAGCGTTCCAATATTCGGCCCCTTGGATGGCATGGATGTCGATATTTTTCATGCTATTACACCCCGGATTGGGGCTCAGAGCCTGTCGCCTCTGCCCTTGCTCAAAATCGGCCAATCAGCATCGAACGAGGCTGCTGTTAGCCCAGTATCCAAGCGCCTCAAGCTTGACAAATGGTCTGGACAGGTCAGATGTCCGGGTCCGGGGTCAAAGGGCGACGGATTAGCGCCTGCCAATGGCGTGCGGGGTCGCCGGAGAGCCAAGATTCTGGTATGGTGAGTTTGTATTTACATCCTGCACAACATACGAGATGAATTTTGGAACGCTGGCGTGATGGGCCGCCCTCCGAGTGGTTCTGGCTCGGGGCTGTTGAGCGAGACGGACGAGGCTGCGCAGGGCTCAGCCTGAGATAGGACCGACAGCTCGTTTGAAAAGGATGTAGAAACAGGTCAATGTGTGGTCAAAGGTTGAATGTACGTATATGTTCATGTAACGCTGCGAATCCCGTGATCAACGCAACAGTAAGTATTTTGTATGTAAATGGTTCGCTGCTTTGGCTGGGTTCGTGCGTCGTCGGAGAATTAAACTAATCTGTCGTCACCCTCATTGGATCGGTACAGTCCTGTGCTATCTTCTAGACACTGGTGTCATGGGCACTGCAGTGCTCAATGCAAACTGTGCAAAAAGCACCCTAGAATGCCAGCTGAAATTACCAGACGCTGCTGTCCTCTTCCTGACGTAGCTTGCTGTTGGTTAGACTATGGGGACGTTTGGGTCTGCTCGGAGCTGTCGTTCGTTGATGGCAGCTGACGGCTGGCGCGCGCCCGTGCCGCAGACGCTGTTCAGCGTGACGTGCCGTATGGAGCCGCTGAAGGGGGCCGAGTTCTGCCGGTCCGGCTCCATCTGCCAGCTGCACGTGACCGTGACGCAGGAGGACAGCTGCGCCGACCTGCGCGCCGTCATGTACGAGGTGCTGGCCGACCAGAACATGTGGGCCGTCTGCGGACGCAGCTCAGGTCAGTGGGCTGCCCGCGCTGTGTCGTGACCTGGTGTGACCTAGACAGCCCCGGCCGGGAGCTTGTGAAATACATGCGAGGCTGGTGTGCGCGCCTGTCATGGATTCGAGCGTTCGCACCTGTGTTGTGATTTGTTTGACGTCGGTGCACTGGAAAAGGTGTGCTAACATTACTTTGAGGTGGACACTTGATTTGGCGCATTCGTGACCTTGCATCACTGTAAGAAGGAAGTTCTACCAATCATTTGGATGCGTAATGTGAGTGAACTTGAGCACTACCTTAATGCACTCCGCGTAAAATGACTCTAACCCAGGACCTGTGAAGGTCCCCCCCCCTCCTCAAGTGATAGGAAAAGGCAGTCTTGACCTTTGACGGCTCGGCTTCCTGGACCAGGATTTTAAGGCATCTGGCCGCTGTCTGCCTATCCGAAGAGAAGGATCACACTGACAGACTGTGGATGACCAGTGACCCACGCCGCCTTGCTGCGCAGTCAGCGCCTCCTGTGTGGCCCACGCTCATCCTCTCTCCGTGACAGGCGTGCTGAACATGGGCCCGGACACGCGCCACTCGCTGCAGCTGGAGGTGATGCCGCTGACGGGCGGCTTCCTGCCGCTGCCGACCGTCCGGCTCAGCCGGTACATACCGGCCAACAAAGGTGCGCCCCCGCTGCCCGCCTGCCGACCAGGCCGGACGCCGAGTACGCAGCTGCTGCTGCTGCTGCTGCTGCTGTTCGCTCGAAATGTCTTAAAGTCCACCCGCTCTGGCTGTGTGACGATTGAAGTGAAGCTTGCCATTAGTTGATTGATAGAAATTAAATTGAAGCGGCGCCGCCACGGTTCCGGGCAGCGCTGCCACGGCTGTCCTGAGTGACGCTGTCGCCGCCTCCCGGGCTGATCTGGCCCGGTGTCTCCAGTCTGATCTGTCCTGCGTCCGTGCTCTGATCTTCCGCGGCGTCCCCGGTCTGATCTGCCCTGCGTCCGGGCTCTGGTCTTCCGCGGTGTCCCTGGTCTGATCTGCCCTGCGTCCGTGCCCTGATCTTCCGCGGCGTTCCTGCTCTGATCTTCCACGGTGTCCCTGGTCCGATCTGCTGCTGCGTCCCTGCTCTGACCTTCCGCGGTGTCCCTGGTCCGTTCCGCTGCTGCGTCCCTACTCTGATCTTCCACGGCGTCCCCGAGTTGCGTGCCCGCCGTGGGTCACGTCTCCCTACCATTATGTGACTCACCTTCCGTATAAACATATGACATGTGTGACACAGTAAATAACACATTCCATTACGTATGCAGTATGGCATGCATTAGCGTGCATACATATAGAATGTCTGACACCTGTCACACAGCAAGAGCAGGAATCTGTGCAGCGCATGAGGGCTGTGACATTGTGCCACATTGACACACATCTTGCAATATCTCGGGCTTAGGAACCGGTGCGTAAAATTTGGGTGAAGTGTGGCAGAAATACTGGAAAGTAAATTTGCAATTATTTTCTCACCTGCCAAAATTCACTGCGACGGCCCCGTGTTCGCGTTCTTAGTCCGTGACAAGCTCCAGAAAGTAACAGCTATCATCCACCCCTGCTGACGATAAATGTCCACTGCTTGGCTGGCTGTTTTGCATGCACTGTTTCGTGGCTGCAGTGCCGCTACCCCCCCCCCCCCCCCCCTCCATGGGTGATACAAAAACGACAGTACACCCCCATGGCGTGAGCGTGGATGCAGACGTCCGGGCCCCGCCCTGGTCCTCTACTAAGCGCGCCGCTGGCCCCGGTCTTGTGCTGGGTGCGGGCCGGCTTTGGTCCGCAGCTGTGTGCCACTCGGATTCAGCCGTTTTTTGCCGTCTTGTCGTTTTTTGTTGTTTTGTCGTTTTTTGTCGGTCGTCTGCGACGACCGCGCCCGTCTGCTGTGTGCCAGCCCTGACCGTGGCCGTCTGCTGTGTGTCACTCCTGACCGTTGCCGTCTGCTGTGTGTCACCCCTGACCGTGCTCGTCTGCTGTGTGTTGCCTCTGACCGTTGCCGTCTGCTGTGTGTCACCTCTGCCCGTGTCTGTCTGCCGTGTCCCCCCCCCCCCTGACCGTGTCCGTTTGCTGTGTGTTATCTCTGACCGTGTCCGTCTGCTGTGTGTCACCCCTGACCGCTGCCGTCTGCTGTGTGTCATCCCTGACCGTGCTCGCCTGCTGTGTGTTGCCTCTGACCGTGTCCGTCTGCTGTCCGTCACCTCCGACCGTGTCCGTCTGCTGTGCGTCACCTCTGACCGTGTCCGTCTGCTGTGTGTCATCTCTGATCGTGTCCGTCTCCTGTGTGTCACCTCTGACTGTGTCCGTCTGCTGTGTGTCACCTCTGATCGTGTCCGTCTCCTGTGTGTCACCTCTGACTGTAACCGTCTGCTGTGTCACCTCTGACCGTGTCCGTCTGCTGTGTGTCATCTCTGACCGTGTCCGTCTGCTGTGTGTCATCTCTGACCGTGTCCGTCTGCTGTGTCACCTCTGACCGTGTCCGTCTGCTGTGTCACCTCTGACTATGTCCGTCTGCTGTGTGTCATCTCTGACCGTGTCCGTCTGCTGTGTGTCACCTCTGACCGTGTCCGTCTGCTGTGTGTCACCTCTGACCTTGTCCGTCTGCTGTGTGTCACCTCTGACCGTGTCCGTCTCCTGTGTGTCACCTCTGACCGTGTCCGTCTCCTGTGTGCGGCAGAGCCGGCCAACCGCCTGCTGAACGCCGGGTCTGGTCTGCCGAGGCTGGAGCCGTTCGCGGTGGGCCAGGTGTACAGCGCCTCGCGCGGACAGCAGGTGCACGTGCTGGCGGCGACGGCGCCCGGTCCGGCCTCCTCCGCCACGGACAGCTCGCTGACCTAGAACAGCGACGGACGGGCTCCGTCCAGGGCGGCTGCTGTTGGAATCTGAGCCCCTCGGCAGCCTCAGGTGCTGGTTTGGGAGACCGGCCGGCTGGTTTGGGGGGCCGGCTCCGTCCAGGGCGGCTGCTGTTGGAATCTGAGCCCCTCGGCAGCCTCAGGTGCTGGTTTGGGAGACCGGCCGGCTGGTTTGGGGGGGGGGGGGGGGGCGGCTCCGTCCAGGGCGGCTGCTGTTGGAATCCGAGCCCCTCGGCAGCCTCAGGGGCTGGTTTGGGAGACCGGCCGGCTGGTTTGGGGGGGCCGGCTCCGTCCAAGGCGGCTGCTGTTGGAATCCGAGCCCCTCGGCAGCCTCAAGTGCTGGTTTGGGAGACCGGCCGGCTAGTTTGGGAGACCGGCTCCGTCCAGGGCGGCCGCTGTTGGAATCCGAGCCCCTCGGCAGCCTCAGGAGCTGGTTTGGGAGACAGGCGTCGGGAATCCTGTCATCATTCTGTTTAGTCTGGCTGGGAATCTCGTCGGGCCCCCTTTGGCACGTGCCGAGTTACGGAAAACCTTCTAAACGAGAGCCGTATAGTATTCGTCGATATATGTAAGATATACATGGTATTCTAAATCCATGGATGTACCGCCGCGCTACAGCTGACGGTAAAGTGGCTCTCAGCTTGCGTTGTTACTGTGTGGGAATGCCGAGTCCTTTTCGTGTATGTCGTGAAATCTATGAATTTCGTCGATCGCGGCAGGCACTTGTAGCGTAAAAGAATGCTGCTTTGATGTTCCGTTTACTGTTATCGTCCATCTTAAGTGCTTTTGCGCGAATTTTTGGGAAATACAGCGTGGTAAGTGACTTTTTAACAGTCACGTTTTGCAACTCTGGGTGTATTTCCGTCGTTTATTGCTCAGCTGATTGTTGGAGGTCGCTGACTGACTTAAGCTAGAAGTATGTCGCAAGTTTCTTTTTTGTGTTGAGATGGTCGGAAAAGATGTCTGACGTCATGTTTCTTGTGCTTCCATTGTCGTTACTTGTGAAGGCATCGCCCAAACTATTTTGTGCTGCTGCCTGTGGGATGTTCCATCGTGCGCGGGCTGCCATTTTGTGAACATGAGCGTGCACAAAACCTTGGCGTGCGCCTCATCGGGTGGTGGTGTGTCCTAGTTGTCTCCGACAGTTGTACCCGGGGTAATGGGGTCTCGAAGCAAAGTTTCGAGACGCTTTAATCTGGCCTGTGATCTGTTGTCTCGCCTGCCTTCTGCGGGGATGAGGGTGTCGTTTTCGTATTCCAGTGGGTGACAGTCTGGTCACCGATAGTTGATATGATTGCGCAACTATCAGTGAAACGAGAGGTATACAGCGTTGGCCAATATATTTATATATGTCTTGTATGCTCACTTAAACTAGAATAGGCCAGAACACAAAGAGCACACTAGCGCACCAAGCGCGCTATAGTGGGCTCCTTCTGCAGCAATCTCCATGTAGCAGAAGGTAGGCATACACTGTTGTGACCGCTATGTACGGATATGTTATAACGGGATGTATAGAACGTTGAGATCTTCGGCTGTCGCGAGTTTATGCTGCTACAATATGCAAGCCTGCCTAGCTGTTCACTCTGATGCGGTCTTGTGTTTATTTGGTATGCCACGGCTGTGTGCACGGAGAAAGATGCGCCGCCAGACTGCTACCGCTGTTCATTGGTACTGAAACAAGCGTGCGCGAGGCGGCAGGTCAGGGCTGAGCTTTGATGCCTCAGTCTGTGACCGATAATACATCAACTTTGGTATTTTTGTCCATTTCATGGGGTGGCAAGAAAACAGCGCCAGCGGTCTTTCGCACAGTGCTGCGATGACGCTGCAACTAGCCAGCACATGATACTCTCCACACACATTGTGGCGTATATGCACGCAAACAAACGCGAGGTTAGTCTTAATCATATGGCTCATCTTGTCACCGTGACATTTTCTCAGCATTCTGATGTCACGTGCGACCTCAACGCTAGCCAGCAGTTGGGCAGTTACTTGGCGTTTCATTTTATCTTGTTTTAGTGTTCAGATTGCATGATTCAGGGCTGGGTCGTCAGCGCGTCGGTACCACGTCATGCGTGGCATGTTGCCGTGCCCCGGCGTATGTGACTATGTTGAACAGCTCCAACGTGGTGAGCCTGACCCAACCACCCATCAGCCCGAGGGTGACATGGCCCGACAACGAGCCTGACCCGACCACCCACCAGCCCGAGCGTAACGTGGCCCGACCAGAACCCTAGCTCGACCACCCACCAGCTCGGGCGTGACGTGGCCCGACCACGAGCCTGACCCGACCACCCAGCAGCCCGAGCGTGGCGTGGCCCGACCACCCACCAGCCCGAGCGTGACGTGGCCTGACTATGGCCCCGGCCCGACCACCCACCAGCCCGAGCGTAACGTGGCCCGACCAGAACCCTAGCTCGACCACCCACCAGCTCGGGCGTGACGTGGCCCGACCGCGAGCTTGGCCCGACCACCCACCATCTCGAGCGTGGCGTGGCCCGACCACAACCCTAGCCCGACCACCCACCATCTCGAGCGTGGCGTGGCCCGACCACAACCCTAGCCCGACCACCCACCAGATCGAGCGCGGCGTGGCCCGACCACAACCCTAGCCCGACCACCCACCAGATCGAGCGCGGCGTGGCCCGACCACAACCCTAGCCCGACCACCCACCAGATCGAGCGCGACGGGGCCGTATGTCACGGAAGGCTGGCGCTAACGTGACGCTGGTGCCGGCTGCCCTCACGTCTCGGCGCTCAACAGAGCAGATGGGAAGCAATGTTTTCGTATTCGGGACTTCTCTCATGCTGCCACTGTCGCAGTTCAGTGGCTTTAGTCTGGCTCTCAGTAATGGCATGTCCGAAGATTAGAGAGTCCCTCAGGCGTGACGTCCATTGCCCGGAAACGCCATCGAAACATGTAAACATATATTCAAAACCTACAAAAGAGCACCAGCCCGGATATGGAAACTTCAACGCACGTCGCGCACGGTACATCCAGCATACAAAGCCTCACCTCCCACTTCACTCCAGACGACTCAGCGCGCGCATTTGGTATGTCACCGACCAGCCTGTTCGCGCAGCCTCCGCCCGGGATACGCCTACGAGCGGAGGGCTCTTACGCACGCGGGTACCGGTGTCGCACGCACGACAATACACCAGCAGCCCAACACGGAGCAAGTGCCTCTTTCGCAGGGTCTTATTCTTATCACCGCTGCGGATCCCACCACCGTCCCTCACTTGCATAAACCACCCCACCGCGGACACGGGGCAGACCCGTCATCGTGCTTGCAGCCCATCCTTGGCATCACACGGAACGTCCTTATTCCGTGGCACTCCTGTTCGCGTCGTCAGATTCGACCGAGCACACATAGACATTCACATCCCCGCGCGCGCACACAAGCCCCAGTTCTGTCGTCCGCGCCCCTGTGCGCCATTTTCAGACACTTTAACCATAACACAGCCGATCAGCACGTCCAATCCGCAAAATATTCCGTTATTCCGCGTCCACCCTGTGTTTCACTTCGGGGCAGCGCTGCGTGACCACACCTGGCAACTCGGGGTGTTAACATCTGGCAACTCGGGGTGTTCATCCACAGCAGCACACATTAATGATAGGTCGCACCATGGGAACAACTGCAAGCATTCAACACTGCGTCCGCCGGCGGAAAATTCATCGGACCGTGCGTTCCAACGTTCGGGCTGTATGGATATGGCTCCACATTACACGGGAGTAATTTGTGGTGTCTGTTGCAAAGTCACGAGTGAATCATACGCTATTATCAAGTGTTATTTCCTTGAATTGGCTTTATCTGACGCCAAAAAAACGAATGAACATTGCATACAATCCTTGCGTAAGTCACGGGGAACATCCAACCGCACACTGGTCGCATCACGGTCACCAAACCGGCTGTGCAGCTTCTGGCCGACCAGCATGCTGTGCTGGAGGCAAAAAGCCAGGGTAAGATTGCTCCAACGATTCGCTTCTGCGGTGGCAAAGGTGACGTGTGGTCCCGGACAATCACTTCTTTCACGGTCAAAAGAGCGTAAGATGTCTAATCTTGGTACCATGCGCCACCACCTAAACGCTACTGCCCGTGTGGTGCCGTAGTGCATATTTATCAGGGAAGCCTAAAAGACGACTCAAGTTACTCCACATGTCATGTTCATTGCATATAACGACGTAGTGTTAAAGTTAACACATATGACCACAAAGCATGAAATACATGTGAGCGTGTTTCTGCTCTAGAACACAAACACGCTTCAAATGTATGGGTTCGAAATGCAAGCCCTCGCAGAGGCATGTAAATTGTGACTTGATAATATGCGTGTCGTTCCTGTCAAAACGTGAAAGAACCCAAAGGCTTATTACGCAGTTGCCTGGAATTTCCTAGCGCTCAGCAGCCTTCTCAAGAAAGGAAGGGGGAGGGGGAGAGGACTCCGAGGCGAGACGGGAAGTAGGTTTGTTCTCGATGGTGTAATGATTCAGAATTAGCCCATTTTCTATCACCATTTTATGGAACGGGCGGGGAGTGTGAGGGTCAGGAGAGCCTTTTTAATGATTCACGGAGAGCTTTTTGATTGGATGGATTTTTGGATTCAGCGCCCACGCTAAGCAGTGCTTGTTGCCTGAGTTCTGATCTCGCGATCCAAGTGTGAAATTGAAAGATCAGCAACATAATTTTGCGGCGAAAGACGACCTGTTGTAAATCTCTGCACGGCCCATCCGACCCGCTGATATCACCTGACGTTTAGTGTGACCGCTGGCAGCGGCCGCAGGCTCTTCCAATCTGGGGCAAATAGCGAGCGACTGAAGCGCGACCACGAGGAAGTAGATCGGAAGGCAGACGTTCCAACCAAAGTGATCGAACATGTCTTTTCTGTAGAAAATAAGGTAAAAGGCACGCACACGAAGAAATATATAAGCTTGCACCTCTGTAGGCCCGGCTTAGCGCTTATCAATCTTAAATGATTGGTTTTCGAGGTTTACACCACAACACTGGGCTAACGCTGAGTCACGCGCCGGGCACAGGTCTGCAGGGGAACTCCAATCCAAGGACAGGTAATAAAATGGGGCGCACCCTTTCACAGAGGTTACCAGGGTCTGTCCGAGCCCTTGCCACTGCTGACATACCGTGCAATTCCATGTGCAAACTCGGAATGGTCACATGTTGACGACAGGTCACACAGAGCCGAAGGGGCGTCAATACAGGAGTCATCAGAGATGAGACAGGAATTCTGGGCTGAGAGCGGAGGCTGTTTCGTCAGACCTCACCTTGCCGATTCGAGCAGCTGACCAATCCCTGGTTCTGATGGCAATGTGGTCGCCTCAGTCGAGAACTCCGGCGACAGACACACTGTGCGCCAAAAGGGCTGGAATCAACCGTTTAGTTCCAATAGTAAACTTGTCCAATAGTACACCCGCGGGGATGAAAGTACATTGGATTGTTGGATGCAGCTCCAAAATGTAGGAGTAGATGTAGGAGGACTAGCTGTTAGTAGTGTAGGAGTACGTTGAATAGCCTTGGGAGTAGTTACAAACACCTTAAGTCCGGGACTTTGGTACAGCCGACTAAAATTCGGAAAATCGGCTCGAAGTCTTCTGCCTCGATACCAACCCTGACATCGCAAGCACCACTGGACGACGCTGAAGGGAATCACAGCCCTGCCCTCCTTAAGACTTCCCCCCCCCCCCCCCTCCAGTTTTTGAGCTACATGTCCGCGAAAATGGGAAAGGCAAATCGGAGAAAGTATTTCAAAGTCGCCCTGGCATTCATGACGTAATAACGTCATCGAAATCTTGTCACTTCACTAGCTGTGCAGCGATCAGGGCCAAACAAAATATGACTTTTGAGTTGTTCATATCTGGCATTCGTGAGCACTATTTCCAGATTTAACGCATGTCAGTTGGCTCTCAATCAATGTTGTGCAAGGTACGATGACGTAATGAGATACCATACTGAGGAGCATATTCACCGAACAAAGAAATTGTGCTGTCCAGAACAGTTTTTCCACTGAAAAGTATATCCATATATATATATATATATATATATATATATATATATATATATATATATATATACTTGTGCAAGTGAACTTACTTTATCATATAAGATGCTTGCTTTCATGTCTTCAAATGTGGAACACCCCCTCTAAAGCTTCAGCTGGACCGCGTTGCTGCTGAACCTGTTGGAGCAGTGGCCAGCCGCGGGGCCTGAGCTCGATTTGTTTCAGCTATGCTTGACGTTAGTTCCACAGCTTGGACTTGGCTATAATATGCATGCTTTTTAAAGCCAATCAGATACCCTAAGCGCGATAAGGACGCATACAAGCTGTGCAAAAGGTTGTCGGTGAAAAGAAAATATGCCCACGAAGACGATGTTTAATAAAAGCGTTTCCGGGAGCGTCAGCAGTATATGATAATACTATTCCTCCAAACAAGTGTCGGCAAGCCGTGAAAAGCGACAAGATCAACAAGTTACAGCGAATGAAACAACGACTTATGTCTTCCACGAGCAGTACGTCAACTTACGGGAAGTGCAATTCATCCTGCGTGTTGATTTGAATTTTGTTCAAGTACAGATGCTTTTTCTTTTCAGATGGAATTATTCCGAATCGTTTTCATGGGTAAATTTGGGTTCAGAGTACCTGCTAAGCATAGCTTGTTGCGTGTACTCTGAACCCATCACCCAAGTCGTGCCGTTTAGTACAACGGAAATTTTGCCTCCCCTTTCACCGAATTTTGCCCCAGAATTTTGTTCAAGTACAGATGCTTTTTCTTTTCAGATGGAATTATTCCGAATCGTTTTCATGGGTAAATTTGGGTTCAGAGTACCTGCTAAGCATAGCTTGTTGCGTGTACTCTGAACCCATCACCCAAGTCGTGCCGTTTAGTACAACGGAAATTTTGCTTCCCCTTTCACCGAACAGAAATGCGGAGGGTTTCACGTACCGCGCATTACTGCGACACGGACGCCCGGGCCTGGGCTGGCCGTCGTTAACCAGTTGCTAGATGACCTTTCCATTTCAGCGGGCTTAACAACGCGCCCGTTTTGGGACGCGTAGCCAGTGCCGTTGGATTATGAGCCCAGCATTTTCACCCTAGACCAAGGAGGTGATATATATATATATATATATATATATATATATATATATATATGTATGTATAAAGCGAGTTCATGGAACTACTTGACACCACATGCAGGCCTGCCTGATGACTTGCAGAGGCCTAAGAATTGACACAGAGTCTTGCCACCGTGGAGCCCCACCGTTCAGGACTTGACCATGCCTCCTGCGACAGTGAGACGGCAGGAGCACGGGAACTTTAAAGGATCGGCGTCGCCAGTACCCCTCCAGACTCAATATGTGACAGACTCAGTGCGCCACACACTCCGCATGCCAAGGCACGATAATATCACTACTAAATCATCGAAAGTCACCGGATCCCGGGTAACCGCTCCCTACTGCACACCCGTGACGGGGAGAAGAAGCGGGTCTGGTGTCTGGTGATGAGGCGGCCGTCTGGCCGCAGGTGGCGGCGGGTCCGATGGGCCGAGCCGCGTGCTGTAGGGTCAGCTGCACTGCACCCGGTCCGTGACAGCACTCAGCCGCAGCTCACTGCCGGAGGAGACGTCGTGGCAGACCGACAGGGAGGCCGGCACAGGTTATCCTCTGTGTGCCGGGCACAGCTGGAGCACAGGGAGCGGCGTGACAACGCGGACAGGGATAGAGGGGGTAAGGCAGGGAGATACAGCCACCAAACCTTTTGGGACCTCTCAGGTTTGGACTGGGAACCTTGCAGCCCCAAAACATGCTGAGTTCACCAGGAAATTGGCTAAGGGAAAGGCACGCGGGTCTTTGACCCCCGCCCTCTAAACCAAGAGGTTTGCATAATATACTAGGCGATTTCGTGGGAATTCGGTCAAGATTCGCAAGCGTTCCGATACATTTTCAAATGTGACCCCTGTTCACCAAAACATGGCTTAGTGCGTGTCTGTGACACAAACGATGACTAGAACTGATTTTACAATGTCATAGACACGTTTCATGACGAGCTATTTACATTTCACAATGCGTTTCACAAGCTATATCCCACTAAACACCCATGTCACAGTACACCCAGAGATAACTGACCTATTCTATGTGGTATTTCCTGGCAGCTGTCGAGGTCCCAACGGTGCCGCTCGCAGACGGGCCGGGGCGACACCAGCGCGTGCCGGTCGCGGCCACGCCGAGCGGCCTGCAGGCGTCCATTGCGCCGGATTGTTCGCGAGCATGGGGGAGGCAACACCCGCCCCGGCCTGCCTCCTCACTGCTGGTTAAGAGCCCGTCCCTGCCTCGACCCGAGTCACTTCCGAATGGCACACGACAGCGTGGCACTGGGAAGCCAGAACAGGACGACGCACGAGGGTCTTTGTCCGGCCGGTATGGGTGCCAGCAGCATGCTAGTGCCACCGGAGACGCCGGTCAGTTCACCTGACCGTGATGTTCACGTCACCGATGTTGCAGGTTCTCTCCAGCTTCGGTGACCTGCTGCGATCGACGTCTGGGCGAACCAGACGGTGCGTGCGTGCTGCCATCTCTGGGGTGAGTGATATACTTCTGTATGAGGCGGATGGCGCTGGGCGGCTCCGGCCCATGGATGAGTGGCCGTGCATTGCTCTTAGTTCTCGGACCCGGTTTGGCGAGCCAACTGTAAAAACCAGGCAGTGCGTCAATGCGGCGGATGTCTGCAAAGTTTGAAACACGACAAGATGCGCAAACCACCGCCGAAATCGCCACTGCAAACTCCGCCTTCAAGCCAATGTCATCCCAGATTTGGTCATGAGATGGGCATCCCCTTCTCTCCTTCCGTATTGGTAATGAGCGGCGTGTTTGCCGCATCCGTTAAAGCCTTCGTCCTCTCTTGCCTTATCCTTCATAGCTTCCCTGTGATGAATTGATGGGCAGAGAGACATAGGCGGATCGTGGGGGGGGGGGGGGGCCCCGGGGCCATGGCCACCCAAAAAATTCTGAGAGAATGTTTTGGCCCCCCAAAACATTCCCAGAACTTCATAGAAGTTTCGTCTACTTACCGTCTGTTTTAACTTTGATGGCGCGGAATCAAACATTCCTTTCCGCTTCGGAAAAAAACTTCATGAAGAAAAGTTGGCAGCGATTTAAATATCAAGATAAAGCGCATGTTGACGAGGCTTAGTCATACTCGGCGCAAACATCGCATTTGATAAGTGCACTGGACCTCGGATCCCACACCAGCCAGCTGGCGACGAACGGTCCCCCCCCCCCAAAAAAAAAGCAACTCCAGGCTGGATCCGTCCCTGCCGAGAGAAAACTTCCTTGTCCGGCGGCTGAGTTACACGCCAACATATCTCGTAATCATTCATCGTTGCTCAAAAATTGATGCATTGCGGCATGATTCTAAAATTTCAAAGCGTCATTTCAGTCGACGAGACATGTATACCAACTCCTCCGTTGTTCCCAAATTTTAGGCATAGGTGTGGGCAAGAAAAGCAAAGGAAAGAGCCGGTTAAAAACCAGAGGAATTCATGGCAACATGATATAGGCCTTGCTGGATCATTTCATCTCACTGAGGGAAGAGTTTGCCCATTCGTCAGCAAACTCACCACATACGATGTCCGTGCCCCGACTGTCCGATCACACCTGGCCCCCTTCCCCAACTCCGTCAACACGTGTGCAGGTCGGGAGCGGACCGCCGCGCCCCAGATTGTTACTTACGCCTTCTGCGCCAGTCTAACAGCGGCCTCGGGCCAGCGATGCGGCAGCACTTCTAAAGTTACCCGGCTCTGGGAACCAATTTCACTGGTGTCTCATTCGTCTTGATATTGTCGTGTGCGGAGAAAAAAACGCCAAAATGGCCCAATCTGCCCGCAAGTTACTGCTGTTCGGATTGCAGCGCCCCCCCCCCCGCGGTGGCCACACGCCACACCCCCACCACCGGGCGACGGCGGGCGGGGGCGGGGGCGGCGAGACGTGCTGTTACGCTCAGAGCACGAACGACACGGCTGACCTTGATGAAGGGCATTGCCAACGCCCGCGGCGCGGCGCCGATCACGGCCGGAAATCCTACACCCACTCGGCCCGCCCGGGACCAGCCGGTGGGAGCCGCCGGGAGCGACTAAGACGCTGCCTCGAGCGAACCCTTGCCTCAAGGAGATCGCGGCAAGCTGTTCGGACAAGTCCAAAAGTGCTGACGTCACAGAGAGGCACGCTGGCGCAGCGCTCTTTCGGTGGCGTGCGCGGCCGGCTGTGCCGACTGTCGTTTTTTTTTGTGCACTGCCACCGTTACGCCCCAATGCGTCACCATTATCAGTCGTAGCGCAATCTTCACTCCCCCTGATTTTATTCAAGAGATCCTTGATAACAGTGACAAGGTGAGTCCTTCCGAACCGAGTGTGGGTATGGGGAGGGGGTCGATACTTCTTTTGTTTATGTCCTTCCATTCAACGCACGTGAGACCAACGCTAAATTTTCAGGAAGCTGGTTTGCTCAGCCCCTTGCCTTCTATCAGTCCCTTGCCTACCCACGCCCCTGTTAAATGATCAACCACCATCAAGTCATATCGAGTTGCATATCAATCAGATTGAGTGGACATCAGTCATCCATATGGTCATTAGTTTTGTTCACAAAGGATGCGCATTTTTAAACCAAAGCATCGTCCAGAAGAAGCCAAGCTTACACTTTTTCCAACGACCAAATTTACTCCATATTACATCTGCTGTGTATAAATGTGCGATATTATTTACTCTGTGTATTTATGTGCGATACAATTCTGCCCTGTCGTGCGTACATGCACATGAAACACACTAATGCGCCACGTCACTTACCGAATGTACCATATTACTCCACCTTAATTTGATTTGGCATTTGAATGCGTACAGCACATTTCACTCCCGTGTCAGCAGCCTGCACAACAACATAAAAAACCCACTTACTCATATTACCCCAGTGTTTGTCACAGTAACAAAGTTGCGCCCTCTCAACCCCAGAGCAGGCGGCGCAAGCCGCGGTGGCGGACATAGCATTACAAACAGCCAGGACGCGCTGTTTGTAGCCTGTGTCACGAGCAGTATTCGGCTTAGTGCCATGATAGTGAAGGTTGATGGACAGCGCGGCTGCTGCGCTGGGGCGGATCCAGGAGTTCGCCAGGGGGGGGGGGGGCATGCACATTGCTGGGGCCACCTAGAGTTTCAGGCCCCCTCCTAAAAAATATCCTGGCATTCGGGTCAGTACATTTTAAGACAAATAGTATTTAGCATATATATATATATGTATATATATATATATATATATATATATATATAAACGAACATCCAACTTACAATGCGCAGCCCCATAAAGCTAGGAGTGCTACGTATGCATATAGATAAAGCTTATTCATGTTCTGCAGATTATGTTTAATCCTGTTATTTTGAGGCTAAGTATTTCGGAACAGCAGGCAAAATTCAGTCGAGTTGGCTGTTAACAACCATCAAACCCAGAGCGGCGGCTCAATTCCTAACTTGTTTAGGGCGAGCCGGCTGGGCGATGTATCAACTGATGGCTGTTGATTAATGCAGGATTTTTCCCTTATAATATAGTAGTGCAAAATAGCCTAGCACTCAAAATACGCTAAGAACGTGATGTACTAGAATAATAAGTGTCGCACACTCAATAGTGAATTGAAATGATACGTGCGATGTCGCTGGCACGTAAAATTTGGTTCGACATTTGCGCGTAAAAATTCATCGGCGCATATCCGACTGCCGCTCTGAGGCGAAGGCACCAAAACCAATAGGAACGGAAACTAAGCGATCATGGGTGCCGCAGGAGGTCAAAAAGTGGCCCCCGTGAACAAGTATAGGACCCTCAGGACAAGCAAAAAGAAACCCAAACTAACGTGGTGGGTCCCTAAGCGATTGTTAGTGCCCCAGCAGGCTGACATATAAGGCCCCGGGCAGAGCACAGTACCCTTTGAGCAAAGGGAATAATCCAAGACCATGAGTTAATACACCTGCGCGATCAAGAGAACAAGGGCAGGCAAACAGGAAGAGCCCCAACAGGAGCGAAGAGTCCCCCGCAGATGAGATCAAAGGGAAAGAGCCCTCTGGGCCCCTGAGGGCTCTTTCTGGACCCTGGGGGGCCCTGAGCACCGAGTGTCTTGGTGTCTTATCTTATAAGCGCCCCAGCAACGGCACAAGGCCCTCCAAGCAAGTCGAAAGAACCCGAGACTAATGTGAAGGGAGCAACCGAGTGTAGCCTGACATATGGGGCCCCGTAAAAAGCATATGGAGCCTTTCGGGCGAATGGGAAGAATCCGTGGAGGAAAAACTGCATCGACCAAGAGTGCCCAGGCATGGAAGTAGATAGCGTCCCAACGACAGCGTTAGGCCCTTTGAGAAAATGCAGAGATCAAGGGAAACGCGGAAAGCTCTCTAGCGATCAGATTCACCCAGCAAATGGACATATAGGGCCAGGATAATCAATAGTATACTGCCTGTAGACAGCGTAATGGGCCCAAAAATCTTCCCCAAAGGGGCACCTTCTCAACCAGTGAAGAATTAACATGTTCTGCTTATGACCTCTTTACTTTACTAGCAATTGTTCTTGGTCGCCTGAAAGCCCAAAGGCGTCCAATTTTGTTGTGTTTTATTGTTAGAAAACTGTGTCCGCTCGGTCAGTTATGGGGCCCCTTTGGGGACGTTTAGGTTCCCTCGGCATGGTCCATGGGGCATGGTCCCATGCCTCTAGCCACCCTCTGCATCCGCTACCGGCCCGAGCACCTTAATAGGTAGGAAGTACCCAGGGCACAATGTGGAGGGCCCCCGAATCATTGAGAGTGCCCGAGTGGGTTAACAGATGGGGCTCCCAGCGAGAGCGTAAAGCCTTCTGTTAAGATATGAAATACCCACGACATGATGTAGAGCGGCCCAGTTCATCGAGTGCGCCAGAGCAGGTTAACAGATAGGGCCCCGAAAAGAGTGGAGGGACCTCCATTCAAATGGGAAGTACCCAAAACCAGATGTAGAGTTCCCCCAATGATCGAATGGACCCGAACATCTTATCAGAAAGGGCCCCGACAAAAGCGTAAGGTCCTCCATTCAAATAAGAAGTACCCAAAACCGAGTGCGGAGGGGCTTCAAAAGATGAAGCGTACCCGAGTAGGTTATCAGATGACCCTAATAGGAGCGCAGGGCCCTGAAATCAAACACTAAGACCCTATGTGCAGGGCCCCCCGAACAATCCAGTGTAGCCAAGGAAGCGAACAGAGGGGGCCCCTGAGAAGTGCGTAGGGCCCCCGTTCAAGTAAGGCGTACCCAAGATCCAATGAAGAGGGCTTCCGAACGATCGAATGTACCTGAGCAGATTATCAGAAACGCCCCCACAAGAGCGTGGGTCCCCAGGGCCAATTAGATAAGAAGTACCCAAGACCCAGTGTGCAGGGTCCCCGAACGACCGAGTGTGCCCAAGCAGACTATCAGATAGGCCTTCGACAAGGGCGTAGAACCCTAAGCAAGTAACAGAAAATTGGAAGCGCCCTAGACCAATGTAGAGGGCCCCTCAGCATATCGCAAGTGTATCAATAGGTTAACCGAGACCCACGTAATGGGCCCCTGAGCAGCCGAGAGTACTCCGGCAGGTTAAGATATGGAGAGCCGGCTATAGTCCACAGGGCCTTCTGGTGAGTGGAAAGAATACATGAAAGGGCCATTGATTGATTTACGTGCTCTGGTACTCTAGCAGGAAGGGCCCAGCAACAGCATAGGGCCCCCGAAACAAATGCAAAGAAATCAATAGCAACATGGAAGGCTCCTTAGCGATCAGAATGCCCCGCAAGTGTACATATAGGTCCCCCAGAAACAGCATAAGGCCCCTAAACAGCGTAATGAGGCTTAAAACGCCCAATTCACAACTTTATCGGTGCTTGATTGTTTACTGCTCGTCGACCCTTCACTTTCGTTTGCAACTGTTCTTGGTCGACTGGAAATCCAGAGATGTTCAATTTGTTGTGTTTTTGTTTTTTGTTGTAAAGAACTGCACCTTTTCGGCTGGCTATGGGCCCCCTTAGAGCCAATGGGTCCCTTCGGGGCCAAACGGGGCCATAGCTCCGTGTCTCCACCCCCCCCCCCCCTCTGGATGCGCCCCTGCTGCTGCGACGCCACCCGGTCCCATGTTTCATCCCAGTACGACTGGCGTCGCTGGGACTCCAGTGTCGATACCGCTCAGTCGCACACCGAAGCAGGATTTACACCGGCTCCGTCGTCCGTAACTTGGAATCAGCATTCCGTGAATTGCGGACCGACGGGCGGTTTCCGGTGAGAACTGAGAAACCGGTTCGCACCAAATAACACCCTGCCCACGGCATGCTTTTGCTCAGTGCCTCATAGTTTGCGGAATCTTCCGCTGCTACATACATTATTTGCTTTTTTCTCCTACCTCCTGAGTGGTCATGCTGTGCAGTAATTCAAACAAAAGAAGCGAAAGGAGTTTAGGTTGCATGTTTGAATATCTAGCATACGACCTTTTTTCGTCATATATGTAGACAAGAAGCGTTGGGTTATGGATTACAGGTTCGCTGATGCTTCGTGAATGCATATTGAAAATGATTTCAGCAGAGATTTGTGCCTGAGCATGTTTTGCATTGCGGCGAGTAAACCCTACTGGCACCCAATTTGAGCACCCGTCGGGTATGTCTAACACGTGACACCTTTGCTCCTGATATCACCTGATTTTCAAGCGCGTGCGACGCACTGAAAAGATAAACACATGTACACAGACATTTGCGAAAAACGGCGGCGAATTGCAACGGCCTTCCATCGCGCGGGAAATTCAAATTGTGCTCAAACCCGACATCTGCTGATGACTGACGTCATAATAATAGTTGGGGTAGCGATTGCGGCGGTCATCAGGGTTATTTTTTACGTGTATTTTTGTACGTCTCCAAGCACTGTAGACGATGAAATGTGTCTTTCAGCAGCGTTCTCACTAATGATATGTCCTGTAAGACCCTGATGGCTAGTTGAGGCGCTTCATGTGGGAAATCTAGATCAATTTTTTTTTTCAAAATGTTTCAATGAAAAACGGACTAATTATTGTGTGCCTACCAACGTGCAAAGACCTTGAACTAGTTGTGTGGGAGGTTGCCATCCAAGATCTTCCACATGCCGCTGACCTAGTGGTTATGAATCCCGCTAGGTCCCCGCCATCATCCAACCGCCTAGCAATGAGAACGTTCACAAGTGTGCACCGTTTGGGTCCATGCTTGCCATCCTGCATTGGACACTAAATAACCCTAGTAAAGCCCCCTCATCAACACCACACACACCAAGGACGGAATGTTGCACAGCAACACTCTTATATATCAAGCGAAATCACATATATCAGCAGTGCGTCGTTCTCCTCGTGCATCTGACCCTCAGTTGCACCCGTCGCCATCCCGAATTTGGAAGCGTAGCGGATCCGCCAAAGCTGCCAGACTCAACTCCATGGCGAGGGAATTCCTTTGATGCTTCACGGACCATTACGGGCTGTCATAGCGGCTGACTGACGGATTCAGTGCGAATCCTGCTTAGCTTAACGACATGGCGGCCTGAGATACCTGGCCGTATCGGTATTAACGACTGGTGACGCGGAGGGTTACGACACGGGTTCGTACCGTACCGTGGCCCATATCTCTCCCACTTGGTCCACTGATATCTGGTGAAAGCCATTAGGTTATTTTCCCCGCATATAAGTGATACACTGGTTTACCGTCGGAACCATTCACGTCCGCTGTTGTGCTCACCCCAGAAATATTCACACACGGCTTTGCATAATTTGGACCCCGAATGCAGGCTACGCACCAAATTCGTTACTGGTCGTGAAATGGGGCTCGTGCTATCTAAGAAGCATTTGGTAAGAACCGCTCCTTTGTAGAGTAAGGCGACTTTACCGTAGCACAACTGCGCTCGTCACCTGCGCTTGGTCGTACCAAGGTCATGATGCAGCCGCATTATCTGTGTTTGAATGTAAGCACCAGTGACAGTTACAATGTTGTCTTGAGCGCAATGAATGCAAATCAAGCATTTCAAGCTTGACATTTGAGGCAATCAAGCTGTAAAGATTCTCCCCGCGCGGTTCGTGGAACCCAGCTGAGCGTGCCAAACACAGACTAGCGGGCACTATTCATCAGACACCGCTCAAGACCAACGGTAGGGGAGGGGACGACTTATGGGACCATGTGCCATCCCTGGAAATATCGAAGCATGGCAGATGTCAGGGACGTTTGTATTCTGACGGGCTGTCACACATCGCGGCCAGCTGTTCTGACCCGAACTTGCAAAACACAGCTGTCTACGGCAGCATCGAAACGGGCAGCGTCAACTCTGCCCTCCTACTCTACCCTGCCCTTCCACTCTTCCCGGCCCTCCTTCGAGCCCTACCCATACTGGCAAGCGTCGCGCTCGCTAACAGGGATATGTCACACATCCTGTCAGATCCCTGCCAGCCGCGAGCAGACGCACGGTGCGGCTGCAACAAGTCTCGTCTCGGATTTCTCTGCGGGGAGTTGCTCTCGAACCGCAAGCTGCCGATGATTGGAGCAGGTGACGTCGTCTGAACACAAGAGTCTGGCGTTCTGCTGCTGGAATGCCCTCTGGCCCTATATCAGACAACTCCTTTAATCAGTTGATACATTCTGTAAATTTTGCTCCCATTTTCTGCCATTCAAAACATTAAAAACACGCAAGGAATGTACTGGAAACATTCCATTAGCAGTGTGCCATTCATAAAGATGGTATGAATTAGTTACGTGACGGCATATGGGCCTCAGGATTAGAACGCCATTCTGCAGCTGCTGCCCGCACGCACCACGGGTCACAACAGGAGCGGGACTACGGGGATTATATAGCCATAGGACACGAACATTGCCATTAATTCGGACTACGCAAACATCAGACGTTTGGTAATATCAGTAGAGCACGGCATCTGAGCCGGGCATTAATAACTGACGTGTAGCCGTTTGGGTCCAGCATTGTAACTGGCGACCGAAACGGCAGGGTCGGACGCAATGACAGCTTATCCACTGCAGGCGGGCACCAGCGCAGTCCGCAGACTGACCGCGTGTCCGACGAGTCATCGATACCGTAAACATTGCACACCGCGGCTTTAAAGCTCCCATTACAGCACGCGGCCACCTGGAGGGCGGCACACCACTGACCTCCGCAGCTGCAGGCACGAGTCGATCGACGACCAAGCGACCGCCGGCGGGCCAGCGGGTGCACACGTACTAGCTAACACAACGGAAACGGTCTCAACGGCACACCAATACGCAGGTACAGGAGGCGACGAGTGAACGTGGCGCCGGGCAAACCCGCTGATGAATTAATTCTGCTGACGACGCGTTCATTGCGTCGCGCGCGATAAGCCATCACCGTTACTGAGCGGAGTTCGGGAGGTCCTGGCAAGCAAAACATTCCCGCATGCTAAAAAACGTCACATCACACCGCCAGTAACGTCACACCAGGCGGATTCCAGTGGTGTCAAGGAGAGAGGGACTGCTGGGGTGTGGCAGGACAGCATCAGGAGCGCGCGCAGCACTGCATGATGATGCTACACAGCACGATCATGCTGCACACTGCCTTTGGCGTCAATGCTTGTCACGTCTGCCGGGGGAGTGGAGACGCAAATTACGGCTCTTTCTCCGGGCGAGACGCAAATCACGGCTCGTTGTCCGGGCCGTGATTTGAGTCTCCAGAACATGTTGGCCCATGAACAACAGACCCATGTTGCTGTCTCTACGTAGAAAGGTTGGCGTCGGTGTGGGGGCTCACCAAGACAAGCCATCAAAACCGACATGGGACTCACACAATACCTATGAAGCTCTTCTGAGGAGTTCAGAGGACACCCATGCAGCGACGCGGGGGGGACAACCGTGCAGCGGCACCGGGGACACCCATGCAGCCTCGCCGGAGACACCCATGCAGCGTCCGCTGGGGACAGTCGTGCAGCGTCGCTGGGGACACGGTTACCTGTCGGAGAGCACCCACCGGCGGTGTGGTCACGAGGCTCAATGGAAATGGTAGGGACGGTGCGCCGGGGCCACTGCAAGTGGTGCAGACAGACGGGACTCAGAGCAGAGACGGGTGCGAGGGTCACAGTCAGTTGGCGACAGGCGCAGGTGCTCTCAAGGCTGGCCCCAGGGTCCAGCCTCTGCAGCCAAGGCCAAGGCTGGCCCACGGTCCAGCCTCTGCATCCAAGGCCTAACTGCGCAGCACACATTGCAAGGTGCTTGTTTCAACGGTGATGTTATAGAAAATAAGATCGGGCTACGTGATGCACTTTGATCATGCGCAGAAGTCATCGCTGACACACGGGGAAGGTGGTGCTGATAAATCGAGCGATTTGAGCGTGAGTGCTGAAGACAGCAGAACTTGCCAGCGGATATGCAATGTGACAATGCAGTATTTAAGTCATGAAACAACTTTTTATGGGTTGAAGTGATGCTCAATAATAAAGCAAAACACTATATATTAGAATAAGTGTGTGTATAGGGTGGATGTGTTTCGAAACTAGACAACATATAGTAGAGCGACACTGAGGTCAGGACTACTGACTAGCAATGTATGCATCAAGAGTCGATCAATGAAAGTACCTGTCGTAAATGTGAGTTTTGAAAAACAACGTGTATCAACATGTAGAATTCCTTCATCGACGCCTCTACACATATGAAACGAGCAGTAGTATCTGCTGGAAAAGCCATCGTTCACGACATGTCTGAATTTCCCGACTAGATTGTGACCCTTATATCGAGAATTACAAGTAGGATAACGCATCTCCGGAAAACAAAAAATGTGTCTATATATATATATATATGTATATATGTGTATATACAACGGGATATATATATATATATATATATATATATATATATATATATCCCGCAGAGAGGAGGGACAAGCCTGAAATCGTTACGCTTTTGGTGTCATGATTTGGGCCAATATGCTATATTCATATACCACTGCGTGCTAGTCGCCTAAATCCTTGATAGATAGATAACTCATAGTCGCGGTGTCCTTACAAATAATTGCAACGTACATAAAACATGCCATTCGACATACTTGAAGAGTTTCATTACGTGCAAGTCCGTGCTGGCTGAAACGCTAACCAAAGACCAAGCTAAACGCGCTCGCTAGTTACACCCTGCAATCAGATCACCAGCTATTCGGTGCATTGGGTGGATGCGGTCGATAGCCTGGAGGGTTGGGAGGTCACAGAATAAACTTCCCTCCCAGCTAGCTGAGCCTAAACACCTCTTCGAGCCTGATTGGTGTGAAACGACTGAGCCGATCTGAGCTCAGCCGATCACGGCGACCAATCCGCGTCGCTGCTGACGGCAGGGACTGGCTGCGGCCAGCGTCCTGCGACAGTAAGCAGAAATGCCACGCGTCGTTCCGCTAACAGACGTGCGGTGCGTTTTCCCAGTACCCCGGAGGTCTCTTGACTAGGTGCAAGCTTCACTAGTCAACGACACACAACGATTTTGTCGTCTGATGTAAGTTTTCAATGTGTTGCTGTCACCAGGGCGCTGACATTTCCAGGGGTAAGGATGTGGCGGTCCACAAAATGACAGACACCTGTAAAGAAGCTCAATTCTGAATTTCAGGGCCCCAAAACCACCAGACTGCCCGCAGAAAACACAACGGGGAATATGGGTCGAGGTTTCCATGTCTCTGAAGGGACCTTAGCTCCCCAAATATGGGCCTCGGCTCGTCAACATTCAACCAAAGCCACAAACATTCACAAAAGAGCAGTAAGATAAATAAGATAGTACAAACAAGGGCGCGAGAACTATGCTAAGTTGAACCGTGGAGGGGGGGGGAAACTCGAAAATGTCAAATGAATCACGTATATTGGGTATATATATATATATATATATATATATATATATATATATATATATATACGTATATTAGATATTGGGCTTCATATAAGACCAGAATGGACTTTTCACAGGCAAAAATGGGCCATCAATGGGTCAGAATGGCCCCAATACGGATCAAAATGGCCGTCGGCCCTGCACAGTTGACAAAGAGCTCTCTCCTGATCAGAATAAACCCAATAGGTATTATAGGTTCGAGTGAGACCTCTACAGATCGGAATGTGCCCTCGTTAGGCCGGGTTGAGCTCTTTACAGACAGAATAGCCCTCCGCTGCCAATACTGGACCCTCTACACGTTGTAATGGGCCCTCTACAGCTCAAAATGGGCCCTTTTCGGATCAGAATGGGACCTCTAAAAGCCAGAATAGACCCTCTACAGGTCAGAGCGGTCCCTCTACAGTCGATGATGGGCTGTCTGCAGATCAGAATGGATCTCTGGGCCGAAATGGGCTCTGCGAAGTCAATAATGAGCCCTCTGCATGCTCAGTATTGCCCCATTTTGCTCAGAATGGACCATTAACAGCAAATAATTAACCCTAAACAAGTCAGAATGGGCTTTTGCAGACTTACTTGATCCATTTGCAGTTCAGAATGGGCCATTAACATATCAGAATGGGCCCAAAACCTACCAGAATGGGTCCTGCACATATCCCTCCGAGTTGGGGGACACCGCCCGCCATCTTCAAGCTGGGGGTGGGGGGGGGCAAACTGTCCCACCGCCCCTCCCCCGGTTACCGCGTCCGTGAGTACAAACCTTGATGCTTGGAAAATAATGTCTCGCCGCTCCCCATCTCCCCAAGAATGTCATGAGCCACCGTTCGTAAGGGAGCCATCACGAAGGCCTGCAACCGCTGCGGCAATCAAAGGGCCGCATAACGCCTGTCCGGAGCCAGGCGAGTCCTGCAGTAAAAGAAATCTGGCTGAAAATGTTATTGAGAGGTTGGTGGTAATGCTTGTCGCACATGTAGCATGTTGAGCTCAGGCCGATACTTTCGGCGCGTACACAGTTCAACCAACTAGCTGATGTACCAGCCAGAGAAGTACTAAACAGCATGCTTCGAGATATATGAAACGAGCAGCGGCTGGATGCGCTGTGGTTCCTACAGGTCACGTGCACAGTTAGTGACTAAGCGACCCTCACCGGCCGTCTCGGAGCCAGAGCTGGACACTCATCGTCAGTCTCGGAGCTAGAGGCAGCCACTCACGGTCCGTCTCGGAGCCAGAGCTGTCCACTCACGGTCCGTCTCGGAGCCAGAGCCGGCCACCAACCGGCTGTGTCGGTGTCAGAGGCTGCCACTCACCGTCCGTCTCGGAGCCAAAAGGCTGCCACTCACTGGCCGTCTCGGAGCCAGAGGCTGCCACTCATCATCCGTCTCGGAACCAGAGGCGGCCACTCACCGGCCGTCTCGATGCCGACGCCGTGCGAGCTGCGCCTGCTGCCGCCGCCCAGCCACACCTGGGAGCGCACCAGACCCTTGGTGCCGGTGTGCACGCGGTCCACGCTCTGTGAGCGGAGCGCCAGCGGGCTGAAGGGGCCGCCCGAGCGGCAGCCGCCGTCCTCCTTGTGCCGGCCGCCGCCCATCCGCTCGGTGACCCGGTACAGCTTCTGCGAGATGTCTTTACCTGGCGGACCGGGCGCCCGCTCAGACGCCGCGGCGCGGAGGAGAGGGGAGGGCAGCACGAGACGAAAGCCCTTGCTGGGAGGGGGACGGAACAACATCGCGGGGGATAACACGCGGGCAGGCGCACACATCGGGGATTAACATAGGGTGGTGAGAAGCAGGCACTACGATAAACACTACATATCGGTATACAACTGGACGGAGACGGTCGTGCGAGTGTTGCGTCACACATGTCACGGCTGACAGGAACAACGAACGCGGACAACCTGGACTTTTCAGAGAAGAAGTTGGAGCCATTTGTTACTTTTGCTCCCGATAATTGGCCTTGTTAAGCCCACATGGGTTCTGGAGCGGCGCGGACGCTGTCCGAATCTGGACAGGTCTGCTTTCCGACTGTTTTTGCCGGTCGCCTTCCAGGAAGAGCGTGGCAGGCCGGGGAGGAGACGTCTTACAATCCAGTTGGGGAGTCGGGACCGCACACCGCCGGCGAGCTACTGACAAAACAACGACGCAGGCGGGTCAAGACCGCACGCCCTGAGGGGTTGAGACCGAACACCGCCAACGAGGTACTAACAAAACAACGACGCAGGTGGGTCAAGACCGCACACCCTGAGGAGTCGAGACCGCACACCGCCAGCGAGCTACTGACGTAACAACGACGCAGGCGGGTCAAGGCTGCACACGCTGAGGAGTGGTAACCGCACACTGCCAGCGAGGTACCGACAGAACAACGACATAGATGGGTCAAGACTGTACACACTGAGGAGTCGAGACCGCACACCACCAGCGAGGTATATACAAAGCAACGACGCATTTGGGCCAAGACTGCACACGCTGAGGAGTCGAGACCGCACACCACCAGCGAGGTACTGACAAAACAACGACACAGACGGGTCAAGACTGTACACCCTGGGGAGTCGAGACCGCACACCACCAGCGAGCTACTGACAAAATAACGACACAGACGAGTCAAGACTGCACACCACCACACGGTTATCGGATGAGAAGGCAGCCGGAGTGAATCTTTTCGATAGAACTGCATCACTTGGATGCGATATTAAACTTTGCAAGCCCTGATGGCCTCCTAACTGTGGTGGAACTTTTGAGTGCTCTGAGACCATTGGTTCAGTAATTGTGGGCATACTGAATGCTGAAGCCAGCTGTTTGGCAAGGGTGAAAGTGGACACTGCAGGCAGTTTTTAACGGATCGATGTCACGTCACGTCACGTCACGTCACGTCGCCTACGTCACGTCTCGTCACGGCCCTGAATTTTCGGCTTAAACCCCTCTCTGCTTTTGCAGCCGTAAAAGCAATGCTTACCAACGAGGTTGCGTATCACAGCATTAAGAAAACAATTATTCTTCATGATAAGCAAGAGCGACGTTGAACTCCACGTCAGGTACGTCGAGTCCTCCACAGCAGTAATAGAAACCTGCAAACACAACGTCGCCGTCATCTGGTTGCTCTTCTTAGAAAAACTGTTGCCGACATTTCGCAGATGCTTCTGTTTGTGCCAGGACATGACACATACGAGGCACACAGTGGTACGGGGCCAGGCCGCCACCCAGAAATAGTCCCCGGGCCACGCCGACATGGGGAGAGGCCGCTGGGGCGGGCGCCACCATCGCGAATTAGTGTCGGTGGGCAGCCGCGGGCACCGCCACAAACACCGCGCATCAGTGTTTAACGGAACGGGATGGCCAGTTGTGAACGTCACGGCGGACATGCCACGGCTGGCAGGAGCAACACACGCTGAGCAGCTGGGGCGTCGAGTGAATGGGCCGGAACCATTCGCCGTCTCTGCTCCGGATAATTGGTTTTGTTACGTCCGGAACGGTTAGTTGGCCAGAGTACAGCCTGTTAAATGTTGAAAGTTGACAAAGCGAATTTTAGCTTCGCTTTGGGCAAATATGTCAGCTGTAAATACATACACACATCTATACCATATCCACATCATGTGTATACATAACACGGGTTGCCAAATCTTCGTGTGATGAAGCCGGTCGGGAAACAAATCCGACAAAAAAGCGGATCGTTATCAAGTCAACGGCCAAATCTGGTAAAAAGTATTCATCAAAGCCGGCCTGGGTAATCATTTGCAAGCTTGGTAGCTAAAACCCAACCTTTCATGTTACCACACTCAGTCGTGGTTTCGGCAAGCAACACACCATGGTATCAGTGACAGTTTTGGGCTGGCAAGTATGTCGCACACGTCGCAGCAGTGACGCAGATCCGCGCTTGTCGGCATCGTGACCACTTAGTCAAATCACGTCCATATCCTGCGAGATCCGGCGCTTGCCGCTGGGGGCAGAGGCGGCGCGGCGCCAGGGGGGGGGGGGGGGGGGGGGGGCGTCGGCGCGTCGCTGTTTGCGTCAGCCCCGGCCGGCCGGACCGTGCCGTCCGGCCGGCCGCACCTCAGACGTGCCCGAGGGAAGCCGGGATCGATGTGTCGGGCGCCGCCGCCGACAGACGGGGCCGCTCAGAGCCGCCGACACTCATTTGCGTGGCCCGACCGACCTGATCGGCCCTGATTGGCGGGAACACTGGGCGGCGCGCCCGCACAAGCGGCGCGTCTGACGCCAATCTCACGGCGCGACGAGCCTGCTGTTGACGTCGAGTGCTGCTTTACTACCGTCATTAAGGCTGAAAATTACCAGCTCAGTCAAACCGAGAATTGAAATAATACCAGGCCGACTCGCGAAGCTCGCGGCTTAGACCCTCGTGCCCGTCTGAAAGATCACTTGGTGATATGAGTGATCACCCTGCTTCACACACACACACCGCCAATCTGACGGGGCTGGCGCCGCCTCGCGCGGGGCCGGCCGGTGATTTGGCCGCTGACCTGGTACACGTCGTCCGGGTCGAGCCGCGGACTGACGCTGGAGACGAGGCCGGCGTTGGTCGGGCCGCCGAACACCCGCTCCGACTCCCACTCCGGGGAGTCGATAAACTGGTTGGGAATGACGTAGTGCAGGTGGATGCCGTCACACAGCACCTCCAGCCTGCAAGCACGAACAGCGCCAGGGCAACGTGCAGCCATGCTTACGCCGTAAGAAGCAAGAAATGCTTCACTTTAACCACCGTGCTTCTTATCATCGTAAGAAGTACGGTAAGTTCTTACCATCGTAAGAAGCACGGTGGTTGTAGATGATTGCATAATTATTTTCCAGCCAGATCTCTCAGGTTTTGTACTGTTGGTAACACATCTGTGTCGTGAATGACAGAGGCTTTCAGTTTTCGGCGCTCTTTGGGAGCAGCTTTGATCTCGCGCTTCTTCGGCACCCCACGCCCCTAGCGCTCGGCTATACATAAAGTTGACCCGATTTCTCGTGGTCGTAAACAGGGAAGTAATCTGGTGACCTCGGGTGAGATCATGCCTTTGGGACCGGTCACCGAGATAAATGGTGCATTTATCTGCAGAGCATGCACGGGACATACTGCCGGAGAACCTCGGCTGACACAGCGTGAGGTTCACAGCACGGTGCCCCCCCCCCCTCCCAACACCCCGCTGATGCCATCCTCTGAGCTGGAGCTGATCGAAGAGAATCCGTCATAAGTCTTAGGGTCGGCATGGATTAGATGATGGTGGTGTAGATGGTGGTAGGTGTTACAATTTGAAGGGCTTCGCACACATTCTCGGGTATTCAGTTGAGAGATGCCCTATATGCAGTTCCTTGTTCCGCTGAGGTCGGCGGTCTGACTTAGCTGAGGGTTCGCCGTAATGGGGTGTGTGTTCTGAAGACGGTTCTGATATTGTAAATCATATCGACTTTCCCAACGGCTTCTGGCAGCCCTCCCTTTATGGTATGCCTGTTGTTGCCAATGATTTAATCTACACTGCCTGACGCCGGTGGGCTTTGGCTTCATGAAGCCTATGGGAGGCTGTTCCTTTGCAGGCTCTCATGAAGGTGGCTCATCACTCTTTTTCTAGTTGCGCCATATGCGCTGATGACTTCCGCACAGAGTTAGAGATGTCTGGCAATGTTTATCGTGACATTATGGACTGAATCTCCGAATTCTTGACTGGACGTAGGACAAATAATAAGATCAAAACCATATACAGAGCACATGGCCCACTTCACCCGTATATGAGACAGGCATGGCCTTATTGACGACGGCGAACGACTACCTAGCCCGTGTTGGCACATCAGATCAATTAGAACAATCAAAACCAAAGCGCAGACGATATACGCACAGATCTTGCCACACTAACTCCACCGTCTCCCAGCAGTTGAGCATGGTCAAGCCTGGTCTCTCAGACCTCTCTCTTCCAGCCCCTCCCCCCCCCAGCCCGACTCTCGACTTCTCACAAGCCTGTCATATTCCACCTGACCCTACCGAGGGTGCCTCTCCCATGCCGGACCCCCCCCCCCCTCGGGTCGCACTCACATTCCCTGTGAGCAGCACAGAGAGCCGGCCGGACGTGGCGTGACGTCCTGCACGGCGTACGCGTCGGCCGCCGCCAGCGGTGCGCCTCCGCACCGCGCGTTAGACCACCGGAAAGTCGCGGTTATCCACGCGCAGCGGCAGGAACAGCTTGCGGTGCAGCTCCTTGAGGTGCAGCGGCACGCGCGAGGGCCGCTCCAGCCAGCCGGCGTAGCGATGTGCAGCACGTGACGGCGAGGAGCGTCAGACTCCAGGCGAGCGCGTCCGGGGCGCAGATCTCCCAGCCCGGCCCAGGCGGCCAGCAACACCAGGCTGGCGCACAGCAGCGCGCGCATGGCCGCCGCGCTCAGGCCGGAATGTGGTGCGGGATCACGAAGGCGGCCAGGTAGAAGAGGTTGGCCACCTGGAAAGAGCTTGCGGTGCACGGCCTGCCAGCTGGTACAGGAGGGCGGCTCCGACGTGCTGCCCATCGGATGGTAGCCAAGCGAGTGGTTGCAGCGGTAACGCTTCCATCGCGGGCGCGGCGACCCTCTGTGGAGGGAGCAGCGGCGTCAGGGGGGGGGGGGACGCGTCAGAGGAGCTGCGTCTGAGGAAGCGTCGGGGTGGTGGGGGGGGGACGGTGTCAGTAGGAGCGGCGTCAGTAGGAGCGGTGCCAGGAAGAGTGGCGTCAGATGGAGTGGCGTCAGTAGGAGCAGCATCAGGGGGACCGGCGTCAGAGGGCGGCGCCAGCAGGAGCGGCGTCAGCAGGAGCGGCGTCAGCAGCAGAGGCGCCAAACGTGAAGTCAACAGTTAGTCATCTGAACCTGAATATCCTCAGGTGACTGACAAAGACGACGGGCATAATCAGCATGTACCATCTGCTCGAGCTCTGACAAGATCGGCGTCAGGAGTGCGCCAAAAAATGCTCTGTAGCGTCTGAAATTCAGACCCAGACGCTAAAGACGCTATATATGCAGACGCTACACACCAGACCCAGACGATCTAGACGCAGACGCTACAGACCAGACCAGGACGACCCTGGCCCAGACGCTATAGACCGGACCAGGACGTCCCTGACCCAGACGCTATAGACAAGATCCAAACGACTCAGACCCAGACGGTATAGACCAGACCAGGACGACCCTGACCCCAGGCGCTATAGACCAGACCAGGACGACCCTGACCCAGACGGGTTTAAACCAGACCACGACCCTGGCCCAGACGCGGACACATCACACCACATGGTGTAAGATCAAGATGACCCTATGCGATGAATGGCGCCTCATGCTAGAGGAAAACTGACCACCGGGAGCGAACGGCAGCTGCTTCGGAGGCGATCAGCTCACAGGAGCTTGGGCCGAAGAGCACTTCAATCACACTTAAAACCCGCAACGTGTGGTTTGAAACGAGAAGATGATTACTCCCCATCGTCGACACTAAAGTGCAAGGATCAACTTTTACCGGGATGACCTTGGCATATAGATCACCCCTTCGACAGTTGAGTATTTATCTTAATTGTGGGAAATATTGGCTACACCCTTAGCCTCTTACAGTAGTTTTGATGAGGCTCGTGCTTGAACCTGCGTTTTGTTATTCACACAGTTTCCAAGTGCCTTTCTGCAATACAATAGCCGGCTTTCCGGGTAATGCTAAGTCGCGTCCAAAGTGAACACACAAGTTATGGAATCAACATCTTCCCGGTTAGGCGATGTTGTCCACGGTTTACACCGTAGGTCGCTGTTTTGTCTCTGATGCGTTACAACTGCTTCAAAGTTTGTTTGAAACGTTGGATTCGCCGCCTGATCTACAAAACCGCTTAATAAATGGTGAATCACTAAGTGGACCCTGCTTTACTGCCAAGTGCAGAAGCTAGGTACAAAAAGATTTTGCAACACAAGCTCCTTAAATTCTTATGCGACATTATCCGACGAATAGCAATGCGTTGTCTCATCACCATCGTATCGCGTCGTGTTGCTCCTAATATTCCAAATACTCGTGATTTGGGCACGGTGCGGAAACCAGATGCAGTGGGTCTAGCACACTCATCTTCCGAATGGTACGACTGGGGCTTCAAGTCCCGCTACAAACGACTGTCTCTGGACCAGTTGTCACCAGGGGAAGTGACGCTGGTTATGTACGAATCTGCATGCGTCAATGAATAACCGGATGGTTGCGGTTATTCCGGTTGGGATATATGTGCACACCGTATAAATCGAGTCGAAGGCCCATACAACGATTTTGTAAAACAAAACGACTCACAGGAAGTCAAACGCCGTTCCTCCGAGGATGTGCCAATCAAAACGGGTTCTGTATTTCCGAAGCCGTATGGTCACCTGCCATCGGCGCTGGGGGCCGCGGGAAACGTGGCTGCGGTAAACGCCTGCCGCTTCGTTGGCCTTCTGCCCGCCAGCCGTCAGTAGTCGGCATCTCGGCTCAGCCCCAGCCTCCAAACACCACAGCGAGTGTCGACGGGCTCGTGACGGGCATGTGCGATCTAAATTAACTGCGCCTACCGGAACATCGCTGTTAGCTGCGTCAGTAGCAAATTCGGTCATAGTCCCTGATTCATATGGTATGCCCAGTTGGCTAAAGACTTTATCTTTACGCTGTGAAATATGTGAGCCCGGAAACAACGCATAAAACAGGCAGATTTCACACGTTAGGGT